AATTACCTCATCATACCAAGCTTTTTTAAAACCCTGTATATAAATGTTTAAATTCATCTCTCTTGAATATGCCAACCAAACTATTGCCAAACTACATTCATGCCATGTAGTGCATGAATGCCTGGTACAACAGCGTTAAGCTTTCTTCTGTGTTGAAAATAGCTTTTCTAACACATTGTATATCTCTTCTTCTGTCCACATCACATTGGTGGTTTATACTTTTCCCCTAGTTTATTACATCCTGTGTTTGACTGGTTTTATATGTTTTTTTTTCCTCTTTCTCTCCTTTTGACTGATTCCATTCTGCTTGATGTGCTACAGTTTTGTAGTTTGTACTCAATTTCATGGTTTCTTGAAACCAACCATCTCTGTTTGCATCTTTTGGGGGCAGAAGGTGTAGAGTTTATTCCATCCCTTTGGTTTATATGTTTTAAGATCTGTTTTGTTTCTGTCTTAGATATAATTGTTGACATTTACTCGTACCATTAGATAAAGTACTCTGTAGCCTCTTTCTTAATGAGACATAAATGGCCTAATTTGATAGTCTGAACCCTAATCTCTTTGGTTTGGCCTTTTGTATTCTCTTTTTCAATCTGGCTAAAGAATAATTTGGGAGTTTTTTGCTAGGCTTGATTATATATACATTTTTTACCATAGGCAATTCGAGGTCTAAGAGAACTATTTAATGCCACTATTTTCATTCTCCTAACTTCCTTTTCAAGTTGGTACCTGTTGTCTGAAAATACCTGTGATGGAGGACTGATAATGATGGAATTAATGAGGATATGTCATATCCCAGATATCAATTTCATACATAGGTTGAGGTTCCAGGAAAGAAAGATTAAAACTTCCACTGTCAAGTGTGAGGTTAGCGTTGTGAAAGCTCTATAGCCATTTGTTGCTAACCTACAGCATGCTTTTTGTACTGAACTGCTGGCTCAGAACATGCAGGTAGTTGTATCCCATTCACCTTTCCAGAGAATGGAGTGCAATCTTGTTGCAGTTAAAGAGTTTCTTATTTTGGAGATGGTTGTGGTGTTTGCTTTTTCAGGGTTCTTTCTGTCTTTATGGTTATTGGAGCACAAGTGGCCCCTGAAGTGTCTGAAAAAAACTGTTAAATTGACTGCTCTGTAAAAATTCCTAGGCAGAAAATCTTGTGGTTTAGAACATTATCTTGGATACAACTTTTCAATAGTTGATCTGTTTTTCTAATGAAATCAACTCTTTCTTGCCCACATCCAGCTTTAGCCATTTATCCAAATCAGGCAAATTAATATAAGATGATATACAGGTGGATGTCATCCCCACTTTGACTGTTCAACCTTTCTTACCTCACAAAATCCATTAATAAATACAGATGATTTTAAATATTTCCTCGAGTTTCACAACTAGAAAGAATTATTTCTTTCTTTTTTTTCATTACATTTTTTTTCTACTTTCAGTTTATTTTGTCTGTGGTCTTATTTGTGCTTCAGATGCTAACATTTTTTTCTGCTTAGGAAAGTTCTTGTTTTGTGAGGAAGTGTTTATGGTATTTCATATATCTGCCGTAGAAATTTACTTAATAGTATTTATTATTTAATTTATATTTAACATCTACATCAGCAAACTACAGTATACAAAGTTGATATTATTATAAAAATATTTGCTTTAAAATGTGTTCATTATAATTCCAGACAGGGATTTACACTCTTGTAATCTAAATTTACTGTAATGTAACATGTATCTGAAGAATATCTTAGAATGGAATGACTTAGCTAGAAATAGATAAATCCTATGAACGTGATACAAAAAATACATGCAGTGTGTTTCTTGGCATGTTAACTGTTTGCTGACAGACCAAATAATCAACAAGTGACTGTGGGGTTTAGCTACCTGCCAAGTTAAACACTGAGGCACTTCAGCTTTGAGTATGTTCAAATTTTATACAAGTAATGACTATGAAACAGAGACAAGTATTTTGGTATAGATGTAGTTTTACGAATAAGATTATAATTTTTCTGTGTAAATATACTGTGTGCTCTTTTTGTCTTTTTTTGGTCAAGGAGACAATTGGAGGCATCTAACTTCCCATTTCTTAAATGTTGCAGGTATTCTTCACAGAATTTGAATGGAGGCATCTGCTAAGCTATAGTAAAAGTGGTACTATATATATAAATATACTCATATTTTTTTCTGAAGAGATGGTAATTTATTTTCTTATAAAAAGACTATAAAGCTTCATTGAATTTATTTTTAAGATCCAGTTATGGAACATCCTTAAGAAGATACATGATCAAGTCCAATCCACTGCTATTGTTGGCAGCTAGAGCTTAATCTCCTCCATTAACTGATAAAGCTCAATCTTAAAAGTAGCTTGTGAGAAGGTTGTTCTAAAGTCTCAGCCCAGTGTAAATCTGGTGATGATGGTTGTGTTGCATGTCTGTTACAAATGGCTTATTTTAGTCACTGTGAGGTGGCCTGGCTTTCCTGTATGTCATGCCCTGATAAGTCCATACAGCGTGTTGGGAACGAGCAAGTGAGGGGAAGAAATAAAAAAGGGCAACTATTTAGAGCCCTGCTTATGTTTGTGCCATTAGTAGCTTAGTAGGAGCAGGGGAAGTCTGGGGAATTCTAATTCTTAACTGACCTTGTGTGACATAGGATCACTGAGGCATAGGTTTGCAGTGTCAGTGTCGTATGATTGGTTATTGCACAGCTTTATTCTAAACATTGTATTTTAGGATTGATTTTAGGGTATTTAGCATCATTACATGCTTCATATTCTCAGTGTACAGGTTCTTAAAGCACTAGTTAATAAATAAAACTAGAGGCTTTAGTGGACTTCTTTATTACAGATATTGATCTAATGAATTTACATAATGGCATACAAATTATTAAAGTAATGAATTTTTTTACTTTTATAATTAAGGAAATTTTTTAAGTGTTTTGTTCTTGGGTTATTTGTTATGTGTTTTTGTCATGAAGGCATTCCTATAATGAATTTTGTGTCTTCAAAATGCAAAATCATAGCATGTTAATCTTTAGTAAATCAGTAGTTAAGGTAGATAATTTTTAGAGCTACGATGGGACATATTGTGAAATTATGTCTACATGGACTGGCAGAGAATTTTGTCATAGAATTGGGTACAGCAAAAATAAAAATTTCTGAGGTGTAAATATAGTTATTAATTGAAAATAATTCTTAATTTTGAAATATACATAATACTGCTGATTTGTGGCAAAAATATATTAAAAACAACCCTGATTTTTTAAAGACATTAGACAAATGTCTGAATATTTCTCTATATAATATTTAAGCAGAAACAGAAGCAGTGAGTTAGAGATGTATTTGGAAAAAAAGAAGTGCATGCTTGATTTGCCACAGTATAACAACTACGTATTATTAATTAATAGCAAATTTGGTGGTAAAAGTGGAATATCAAAATAGAGGTTTATTATCTCTCTGCCATTCATGAAGATCTTTTTTCACAACTGAAATACATTGCTGGCTTCAGATATTGCCAGATAACATGGGAGAATAGCATTAGTTTGTTCATTGCAGTGCCATATAGGACATTACTTTCAGATGTAATCTTTTATCCTTTGTTTTCTAGGTAAACTATATACGTATGTTTCATTTAGGTACAGTTTTTTTAGTGTGTAGAGACTAAGGTCACTATAGTCTCCAGCATATCCTTTCAGATTCTTAAGGTCATGTCTTTGTGGAAAGCAAAGTAGTAGCTTACTGTCATAACAAACAGATATCTGTGCGGAAGTGTCCAGAAGATCAACTTTCATATGAAATATAAATAGAAGATAACCATTGATTTATTTTTTTTCTATGATTTTTTTGGGGGTAGGGTGATTGGTGGTGTTTGGTTTTTATTAGTTCTTGACCATTGTAGCACTGAGCTTTAACCACACATTGTGATGTTTGTATCCTAAAGCACCACAGTTTACATCATCACTTCCATTTTTTCCTTCTGGCTATTTTGGGATTTCTGTATTTATGCCTAGCCAATCTGAAATGAGCTAAAAGGAGAGTACCTAGTTCCAAAGGGAGAATTGTGAAATGTCTGCAGCACATGCTTGATTATAGAATATCTCAAATTTGAAGGGGTCCTTAAGGATCATTGAGTCCAACTTCCTGTTCCTTGCTAAACCATATGACTATGAGCATCATTCAGATGCGCAGTGAACTCTGAAAGGTTAGTGACATGACAGCTTCCAGATGGAACCCAGTGACTGACCATCCTCTCAGTGAAGAACCTGTTGCTAATGTCTAATCTGGATGTCCTCTGATGTAGCATCATACCATTTTCCTTTGTCAGCTCAAAAATCAAACAATTGTTTCTGCATCAAATGAATATGATTTTTTTTATCTTCTTTCATTCTTTCTGGAATATTGTAAATAAATTTATTGGGCAATAATAAGGCTGAATACACCTTGAAGATGTCTCTTCTGGTCTGATCTGTCATAGTACATTTTGTTGTCCTTACATTGAGAGCAAAGAACACTTAACTAGAGATACCAACTGGACTTTAGGTTAAATGCATACTCAGTTACTTATAAAACATTTAATAATATTAACCCTAATTACAACAATTTAAGGAATAGAATACTTTGAGATTTTTCATATTTTTATTGTAATAGTACACAAAGCTTTATTCATCCTACACGTAGGTTATACCTGTATGTCATGGTTTAACCCCAGCCAGCAACCAAATGCCATACAGCCTCTTGCTTACTCCCCCAACAACAGGATTTGGGAGAGAATCGGGAGGGTAAAAGGGTGCAAGACTCATGGGTAAAGACAGTTTAATACGGAAAGCAAAAGCCATGCACATAAGTAAGCAGAACAAGGAATTCTTTCACTACTTCCTGTGGGCAAGCAGGTGTTCAGACATCTCCAGGAGAGCAGGACCCCATCATGTACATTGGTGACTTGGGAAGACAGTCATCACTCCGAATGTCCCTTTCTCCTTCTTCCCCCACAATGTTATATACTGAGCATGATGTCATATTGTCTGGAATATCCCCTTGATCATTTGTGGTCAGCTGTCCCTGCTGCATCTCCTCACAGCTTCCCATGCACTTCCAGTCCCTCTGCCAGTGTGGCAGTATAAAAAGCAGAAAAGGCCTCACCTCTGTGTAATCTGTATTGATTATAATCTCTGTATTGTCAACCCTATGTTCAGCACAAATCTGAGACACAGCCCCATACCAGCCACTGTGAAGAAAATTAAATCTGTCCCAGCCCAAACCAGCACACATAGTATAATAGTTTTTCCAGCACTTGGAGACAATAGTGGAATAGGCAAAAAAATATAACGAACCCGTGATGCATTTGCAGCTACTAGTCCTTCATGTCTTTATTTTTCATGTATAATTTAACACAAAACTTTTTAATTTATTTGCAGGTAATTGTAACAGATGTTTTTAAGCAGTTTAATTTTCCACACGCTATCTTGAGAAGATTTGAATTGCATCTGTACCTTTGAGCTGAAGATATTACCAGTTTACTGAAAGGATAATACAGTATCCATATTCATTTAGCCCATGCTTCCCTGATGATCCTGAAACTAAATGTGGATCACAGTGTTTGTCTGTCTTGAGAGACTCATTGTTTTGACAGGTTGGTATAGACACTAGGAAACTCAGTTCATATAGATGATGGAACAACTATAGGCATAACAGAGAAACAAGTTTGTTACTGTTGAACTACTCGTAATTTTTTGATCAAGATTGTTAATGATGCCATGTGCCCTTATGAGAAGACAGATTAGCCTGAAAGCGAAGACTTTCCTAAACATGCTAATGTTAATTTATTTGAAACCATGATTTTGGTGTGTAGCAAGGAGAAATAATGTGGATATGTTTTGTCTAGCAATTTGTAAAATTTTTATACATAGGAGTGGTACATCAGTCATATTTTTATCATTTAGTCATAGAACTTGGATATAGTTGGGGATTTTTTCAGCAGTGTGATTAGAATTGACTGAATTAATCCTATGTTTCTCGTACAGTTTATCAGACCATGTAATAATGTGCACTTCGCATTGTTTGAGCCAAAATCTCAAAGGGCAAGTTATTTGAAAAATTTCAGCAGTACGGTGAGAAGTTCCCTCTCTGTGTTCTTGTGTCTGTGTCCATTTATCTGGAAGACTGTATAAGCACAAAAAAAATCTGATAATCTTTAAATGCTAAATATAGTGAGTGTCTGGATTTAAATATTTATTGTTTTGTGTGTGTGGTTTGTATTTTTTGGTTTGGGTTTTTTCCCTGGGATGTCATAATTTCTGAGAAAGAGGTTGGAAACCAATAGTATTGCTGCTTTTCTTTATTCCTCTGCTGTGTATGTGGAAATGTAGCTTGCTTATACAATACCCTTAATGGAAACTACGTGTGCTGGAGTAGGACAGGTAATGACACTGAGTTGCTCTGTGGAAATGGTAAGTAATGTTCACCACTGACATAAGGTTAATAGTTGGTACTTTCTGCTGTTCTTTTTCTACTCTGGTTTGTTTATTTCTTGATTAAACAATCGGCTTTGCAGTTTTTTGCATTTATTATATTACCGATTTTGGAAATCAGCTTGTTAATCCAGTACAGAAAGGCAGAGGTTGTCTGGATTCTGGGTTGCTTAAGAAACTGGGTTTTTTAGATCTTCATAATCTCTGTTGAGGATCTGATAGTTGCTGTAATCATGCAGTCAGAAAGATTTGTATGAAAATATCTCCTAAACAGCACAGCTGATGAAGTGTGCTGCTGCAGTACCGAAATGTGGTGTGAGCAGTACAGCTTTTATTCCTCTTTTTACCTTTTTTTTTTCATTGCTATAATGCACTGTGAAATTTAATATGAAACTTGGGAGCATAGCAGCAAAGGATACTGCCTGTGGAAGGAATAAATGCCATCAGATATGTGAAACTCTTCTGAGAGAGAAAAAAGAAACAGATCCATTTCGATGAATTAGGTAAATTGGGCTTTTTATATTTCCCAGCCAGTGCTGGTGGCTGTAGCTGAGCCTTTCAGGCTCTACTGGCTGCAAACAATGGAGTTGCAGATCTTTTTTTCTTTCTTTTTTCCCCCTTTTTAAAAAAATGTGAAACTGATGTTTGGCATTTGTGATAGTTTTGGCCCCTCCTACTGTGCCAATTGAGACCACTCCCTACGTAACCAAAACAAATCGTTCCCCATGACTCTGAAGATAATTTACATTTCAATACAAGCTTTTATGCACTGAACATTTCATACAGACATTTCATTTGAAAAAAGAAAGTAATTTTTAAGAGACAGATAAGAATTACTCAAACAGCATCTCGTTTTCAGAGCTCAGAAACACAGCAAAATCTAGAGCTTGAAGCACCAGTGTGCTTTAACATAAAATATGTGAATATATAATCTATTTATTGGTTTTTTATTGATTTCTGTTTTCCAGTAGAAAATCCAAGACATAGAGCATTTAAATTGCTGCTAAAAGTATTTCAGATTTATGATTTTAAAGCTTATTAATGTAAATTCATATCAGAGTTCAGATCTGTTCTTTGAGTAGGTTGTTGTAGTGTTGAGTAAATTTTAGCACAGAACACATTGGACTTATATGTGTTCAGGTTCTGTATTTTTTATTTCAACTGTGCCTTCTGTCATGGCTTGGATGACTTACATTTCTCACTGGTTTGATGAAGATGATTGGTATGAAGGACAACGACGAGTAAGAATTGTTTAAATTAAAATTTTCTCTTTTACTGCTTTTATATTTTTCTTCTTTAAGCTGCTGTTTATTGTATCGATAGTATCAAAAAATAATATTTCCATTGTGGTACTTGCAAGGGATTTTTAGTAGTTTTAATGAGGTCTTGAATCCTGGGTAAAGCACATCCAAAATGAGATTTTTGAAAATTAATGTTACTAACTGGATAAAAGGTACTGGAAGTTTGATGGCCACCTACTTGCATTTTTAGGTTGCATAATTTAATGAGTAATTCTTTAATATGCAATGAGATGGAAATCAAACATTTAATTTTATTTTATTAGAGGAATTAATATAGCATGCATGGAGTAAACTAAAGTAGTTATAAGCAGTAATTGAGTAAAACAAAAATATTTAGGAGATATTAAATGTGTCTAGTTGTACCTTGGATAGCTGTACGTTTTTATTAAGATGTTTCTGAGGAGGGGGAGTTGTTACTATAGCAGCATTTGCAGGATATCTTTGATTTTTTTTTTTAATTTTTATTAACTACATACCTTAGGCAAGCTTAGTCTGCAGCTGCTTTCATAGATTTATGGTAGGAAGTGAATATAAGTCTCATTTATTTCACTGTATTAAGCTCCTTTATGGAACCATTATTTCTGTGATTTCTTTTTCTTGTTTCCATACAATATCGTGAGCTAACAGATTGGAATGCAGGAGATGCTACTGAAACATAAGCAGCTGCTTTTATTGTATTATTGTGTATTACTTGATAATGCCAGTTATATGCTCGTAAGTATAAAAAACCAGCAGATTTTAATACTGTTTTACTGTTCTCTTTTTATATGTCACTTGTGATGTGAATGTTTCAGATGTGGAGTTACTTTTTAATAGCTGTCATCAGGGATTCAGGTGTGAGATGTGCCAAGGGTTAACTTTATCTGACATCAGAACTACCTTGGCAATTTGTATACAGAAAAGCAATCTTCTGGTGATTGGAGTAGTTCCAGATTGGAAGATAAGAACAAAATCTTATGGAAACTCTTAGATGCTTCATACTGTGATCAGACATGGTTGTATATATCTCTTTGTATTACACACAGTATCTGCAAACTAGATTTCTGATACCATATGATTAACCAATGCTCTATAGATGATGCTAGATGTGTTTTGTATTGATTAGGTATGTAGTTTAGCATTGCTGATGATGTATTGTTAGAACTGTTAGCATTTCTGCATGCTTTGTTTTGAACCCAAGTGTTGGTCTTTAGATTATTTTGTTAAAGTTGCACAATAAAGGATATTCTAGTTAAATGTACAAGTAGTGTAGTCAAGACAGTCAAAAACACTCCTCTGTAAGGCTTGTTCTAAGTTACGGTTTTTTAATGTTGTTTACCTTAGATTTTCTAAGCAGGGTATCTATCTTGGAGTAATGTATTTGGGTTTTATTTCAAATGTTTGAAACTTGAAATCGCAGCCCAAGATTGTGTTTCACAAAAACAAACTTCAGAGAAAGGTCCACAGCTACTTCCCTTGTGAAGCCAAGAGATCCTGTGGTTAAAGAAATTCTGGTAGTGATTTGGGTCCAAGTTTATTGTGGAGGTTTAAAATGGCTGTGAACACTAGTAGAACACTTGTTCATTTAAAATGAGCTTTTAAATCAAAGTATTCTTCTCCTAGTCATTGTCTGGATAACGGAATGCACTCATTTTGAACACTTGCTAGGTTACCATAGGCTAGGAAATGTCATCCGCAATTCTGGTTGCAAGAGTCTAGCCAAGGCTTCTGGTGTTTTTGAAGAATCTTGTTGAAGTTCAAAGCTTTGTCCAAGGCACCCTCTTCCTGCCTCTGGTTAATCTTCTGATTCTCTGGGAGCTGTAGGTGGCCTGTGTGCCATGAATTGTATACAAAAGTGGAAAAAACTTTCCCAGTTTTTGCAGAGAAGTGTACATATTGTCTGTACTGCTTAAGGGCAAACTAGCAACCAATCTGGTGCTTTAGCAAGTAGTAGACTACCTTGGTTAAATTGTGCTGGAGAGTATGTCAGGCTGCATTTCTGTGTCTAGCAGTACATGTGTAAACCTATATAATTATTCTACATTGTTTTACATTGTGACTGTCATTATTAATATAGTCAGACTTAGCTCATCTTTTGCCCAGAAGCAGTTTCTTGAAGTAGTGTGTATCATCTCAATCAGACTGTGTAGAGACCTACACTAGTAACTGCAGTTGGGTAGATCACATCAAGAACTGAAAATTCATTAGCATATTGCAGCATTCCAAAGTAGGAAGAATTTTTTTTATTTTGTCAAAATTTTCACGGTCTAAGTTTTCTATTGGCTTTTAAGCTTCTTATATGCCAAAATATTTCCAGTTCTCCATTATTTCATGGGTCTGGACAAATTATGAGAATTTAATTTCTTAACATGGCTGTAATGTGCTTGGTGGAAGAATTATTTATGTTTAATTATGAATATGTTATTAATGAATTAATTATGTTTATGTTATTACGTGAGAATCAATGCTATTGAGGCAGGCATTGTCAGGCAGAAGTTGTTTACTGCTGTATCTTGCAGACATGCCAAGATTTCTTGGTAGCCTTGAAGAACTTCATGCTTTTAGCAAACTTAAATGATTTTGCTTCAAACTGGTCCCATTTGATATGGTAGTGGTTTGAAACTGTGGTTCCTAGGTCACATTTTCATCCTCAATGGATTTTCCCTCAAAGATGGGTAAATATACCCAATATCTTAGGGAGACATCACTTCGGTATCACTAAAGATCTTTTTGATTATTACATTATTGTTGACATGCTGACAAAAATATTATTACATGAGGACAGTAGTTACAGGAGCATCAGCATGCTTTCCACATAAGAAAAGATACAAACTTAATGGGAAGATAGTGACAATAGAATGAACAGAAGCAGAGGACACTGGCACTTCACTGTATATAGCTGTTAAGAAACTAAGGGTTTGTATACACAGAAGCATATTGATTAATATAAGGCTATTCTATATCCACATTTGTATGCGTGCCTTACTGCATGAGGACTCATTTGGACAGGTTATACACCACATGGACCATAATCAAAGCACATGTAAGCATCTGTTATTGGTTTTGCTTGATGGTTATAAAGTTACGGATGCTTAAAACATGCAAGCACATGTATTGATAATGGAAGAGTGTTAAGTGATGGGTTTAAAGAGCTGTTATTATTCTACAAGTGTCATTGTAGTACAGTTGGGAAATACAACAAGCAATGAAATGCACTGAGTAGCTGAAGCAGAGAAGCAGGAGTTAGGTTAAAATTAAAATGGTGCCTTTTAAAGAGCTGCAGTTGCCAGGCTACTGACAGTGCCGTTTTGTGTGTGGTGCGACACAATGCTCAGTCTTTTCTCCTGTATCCTGTAGTAACTGCATTATTCTGTGAACGTCAAGGTTTAGTTCCTTCATCTGTCAAGTAAAGTGATTTCATTCTACAACCAGAATAATATTTTCCATTTTTGGGAGCAACAAGGTATTGGAATGAACATGGAAATGCTAAAGTGGTTTACAAAAAATGACACCTATGCTAAGGTAGGGATTATTAGGCATTTATCTTCAAGCTGTTAATATAAAACCGTGGCTCTATATATAGTCCATTCAGTTGTTATTTTTCAATAACATTTATGATATACAAAATTTAAGTTTATTGTGGTTGGTTGTTTTTTTCTTTTTTTTCTATATTTAGCAACAGGAGGGGGCTTAGAGTGTTCCTGCTTCTGCCAATTCAAAAGAAAGGTTTTTGTTGTCCTCCCTCTTTATTTCGTCTCCTTGGAAACTGTGGGCATCATCTGATAGCTTTCCCAGTGTGGTATACATTTTTTACATGCACAGGGGTTTTTTCAGTGTATATTTAGAGTTCAGTATAATTACTTGTACATCCCTTATTTCAAAATAAAGTGCTTTTTTAGAAAGTATGAAAAATGTATAAAAATGCACCATGTGTGAAATCATACCTATATATATTCAGTTATGCTGCCCTTTTTTGTCTTTTTACTCAGGCTGTTCTGATGAATGCTGCTTTCTCCCTTATACTATAAGTATGCTTAACAGAAATCTATGTCTGAAAAGATCTGCAGGAAACTGCTTTAATGCATGATACTTACAGGAGAGTAAGTTAGTATGCCATACAACTGTCATTTCTTCTAGATGCTATTTTACTGAATTTCAAAGCAAATTCTTCCCTTTGTAAAATGGTATATAGCTCATTACAAGGAGCAGGAAATAATAACAAATTTAAAAAGAACAAATATTAGTAAATAAAGTGTACATTCCTTTCTGTAATGCAGCTCAGAATATGTTATGCATGTAGCTTCTTTATATATACCTGAATAGGAAAAACCTAGTTGAAAAATCAAATTTTAAGAATACTTATTAAGCATGAATTCTTAAATCAGTGAAAGAATGGTATTGTGCAGAGCAGCATTTTTCATCTAAAATTCAAAAATTTCATCTATTAACAGGATTTTTTTAAATACAGATTACTGCAGAATCCTACAAGACAGATGTATTGTTACTCTGAAATAAACACTTGTTGAATTCTGTTTTAGCATCTGTAAGATTCTTGTCTTTCAACATGGTAGTCTTGCTCTTTACCCTAAAGAAGTCATCCTCCATGTAATGTTTTTCTACATAATGTCCCCCAGTCCATTAATCTATTCACAGCATAAATGTGGCCCCAAATGAGACATTCTGTTACTAAGTAACGTGTTGATATTCTCATGAATCAAATGTGGGCTAGGTAGATAATTGGTCTGGCACAGCAAGGTGTTTCTTACGTTTTTATGTTAAAATCAGTTGTCTCAGAGCAAGATGGTAGTATGAAATTTGTTTTGGATGTTGAAGGCATAGTTTGCTGTACGGTAATGTTACACTAAGCTTTGCCTTTGTTTTTTCACAGCTTACTTCAACTTTTTTGTTAAGCAGTAATTATTAAGAAAATTTAGAAAGCTTTCCATAAAGGATGATGATAATATGTACTGCATAGTTGTTCTATGCAAGTGGCTTGAAGACCTTTGTACACATGTTGCTTTAACTTAAAACTATTAGCATATGGTTATTTTGTCTGGCTGTCAGTGGGAGATGAATGGGAGAGCAGAGAGGGCATTAAACTGTAATATAGAAAGTTTTGAACCAGAATGCAGAAGAAAATGGGAATGATGAACAGTTTCAGCTAGTACACATCAAGAACTATTCCAGTTTTCATTTGCTGCTTCCCCTCCCCCTCCGCTTCTTTTTCCTTCCAAATGGATTGTTGTGAATGGTATTCAATATCCTTTCTTCTGCAGCACTGAAGCCTCTAAACATCTGCTTGACTTTATTTTGAATACATTCTTTTGTATCTCAAGGTAGTTATATTTTTAAGGTAGATATTATGGGAACAAAGAAGTATTATTCTCTTCTTTAAAATTCTGTCTTCTTGTAGTTTAATGAATTTCTGTTTTAAAGGCAAAAATGTCACAGGTTAAACAAGTGGGACTTTTAGCTGCTGGATGTCAGCCATGGAACAAGGATATATGTGCTGCTAGTGGGGACAGATTTGCCTACTGTGCTACCCTTGCTATTTATATTTATCAGGTAAGATTGTCCTTGTTTATCAGAATAGTTATGTTTTTACATTGTTGTTGATCTCACTTTGAACCCTTTTAATAAATGTTTCTGCAATTCTTTTTGAAGTATGGTAGGTGCTTAGAAGATGTCTATGTAAAGCTCAGTCTTCCATTCAAGATAGCCCTAAAGTTGTATATGTCAAGAGTTATTTTTAAAAGCCGGGTTCACAATCCAGCAAACACTTGAGATGAATGAAGTGCAGCAACAGAAAAATGTTTTCTGAGAGAGACATGAAGCAATTCTGTGGTTTCATTTGAAGCTGTAGTATAAAAATAGTCCTGTGCACAGTGGATCAAACTGCTTCAAAGTTGTGGATTCCAGAGTTGTGGCCCACCTCTGTTTGATTTGGAACTTAAACTGCTCAGGACTGTGGTCTTCTGAAGTTTGTGGTTACTAAAAAATAGAAATACTGTGATGTGGAATTTTCAGAATGAGAAATATGTAAGGAAATAACGGATACACTTACTTTAACTTCAAGAGTTATACCGCTTGTAGGATTAAAATAAACAAAATTTCCTGTGTCATGTTTGGGTGTGTGATTTTTTTTTCTCTTTTTAGTTTTTAACTGTGTGAAAAAATGAGTATGGTTTAAAAAATGAGAAGGATTTGAAACTCATTTTCATATTCTATCCTGTTTAACTCTTTGGAGATTACTAAATGGTTGTTACCATGCCTATAAATAAAGCATTTTAGGATTGTTTGAATAAAGTTATTAATGAAATTTAATAGTTTATAAGAGACAAGAGGATAGACTGTTAATACTGATTGAGCTAATTAGATATTTGACAACTTTTCTATCAAATGTATGAGAATTTAATTTATTCAGATACGAGGCACTGACAATTGTTAAATCCACTATAAGTTCATCAGTAAGTCTAATACTGTTATATAAACTAATCTCCAACCCAATAGTACGTAAAGTGAGTTTACAAAAAATGTATTTCTAAAATGCCTTTTATTATTTGTTTAGCTGGATCACCGATACAATGAGTTCAAACTCCATGCAATTATGTCTGAGCATAAGAAGACAATCACAGCCATATCCTGGTGTCCCCACAACCCTGATGTGTTTGCAAGTGCCAGTGCGGATAGTTTAGTGATTATTTGGAATGTGAATGAACAGAAAGTTGTGGCCAAGCTGGACAATACAAAAGGTATTTCAGACAAGGAGATATTTGATCCATACAGCTTTTTAATCCATGGGTATGAGAAATACTTGATACTAATAACTCTAAGCACTTGTTAGGCCAGAGGTTTAACAATTGCCCAAAACAATATTCTTGACAGATTTGTTGCATTCAATTTTAGAAAGTAATGATAGTGTGAATGAATTACTGTGAACCATCTTGTAAGTGGTAAAGAAAGAGGTTATTCTTTTTTCTAAATTACTTGAACAATTCAAGAATTAACTTTGTTAGTGATTTCTTATTGAGCAGGAAAAGAAACCCAGCACAGTATTTTCATCTGTATAAAAGGATAAATAATTACATTTTTAAACTTGTGTGTTTTCATGATAACTTTACCTAAGTGAAAGCAAATAAAATGTAGTCTTAACAGATTCAAGTATAAATTATAGTGAATTTGAAAAACAGCTTTTGTTTAAATACCCTAAAACCTGTCTACCTGAATATTCTCTCAGGACTTGAAACTGCTGATTTGGAGATTGTGTTACAGGTCTAGGGGGTTAAACATCTGTGTCTGCAGTTACCTCTCTCTACCCAGCTCTGATTTATTCCCTTTAGTCAAAACCAGGACCTGTATTTCTGTTCTTACAGTCAATTTCATCAGGTGTTCTTGACTCTTACATTTGCATTCTTGGAAAATGAGTGCAACCTAAGAACAGTCAGAATCTCAGGATCTATTAAGCCATTTTGGGACTCCCTACTCTGTTCTCTCCTGAGCAATTTAGGATACCTCTGAAAACCTTGTACATCTTGCATATTTTGCAAAAGGAAAACCCAGACTGATTTCATCTATTCTAAAAGAAATATTGTATCAGTTTATGCATTAATATAAAAGCTGATACTTATTTTTCAATACATTGCTTGTTTAAAAATCTACTTCAGCCAATGACTACACATGAAAGAAGTGTTATTATTATTATTTAATCTTTTTAAAAACTAATTTACTTTTAGGATAATATGTTTAAACTTCCTATTAATGCCTCTTTTACACTCTTTGACGTTGCCATATGAAAATATCTAAATACAATTTTAAATTTTCAGCTTTTTCTTACCATCATTTATTCTTCCAGGCACACATTTTTAAGCTATGGAGATAATGAGAGTTGGAGATGTTAAGGTCAAAATTTCTAAACTGGAATGCCTACAGTTAGGTGTAAGGCAACTGAATTAGAACTGTCACATATCCAGAAGGAAGCTATCAAGAGTTCCCTTAGATTACAGAACTGACTTTCCAATTTTTTCACAAATATCTGTCTCTGTTATATTTGTCTCTGAATTTCATTGCAAAAATAGGCATTTTGAGGTTCTCAATATTTTACTAGCTTAGTAGCAAATAGCTTACAGTAAAATGTAGTGGTGAATGGGATTCTGAATGAATGAAAGTATTGTTTACAGAATCAGGCTTATCCTCTTTCATAAGTGTGATTCTCTTTCACACTAATGAAGTACAGATACCATAAAATACAGTCTGTCAAAGTAGTATTAAAGTAATTTGGGGAATAATTTTACTTTGTACCTATGGAAATGTGTAATTTACTTTTATAGCATGAGATGTTCATACCGTTGTCTAAATTTCAGTCTAGTAATTTTTATGTAGAACAATTATTTCTACAATTTTTCAAGAAAACTGCTGATTCTGCGTTAAGGAATACTACGCTGAATTTCATATCTTGGTTCTTATCAGGTTTACCTGTATGTTTCAGGAATTCCTTCATCACTTAGCTGGTGTTGGAATGCAGGTGATGCAGTTGCATTTGTGTCCCATAGAGGGCCGTTGTACATTTGGACTATCTCAGGACCTGACAGCGGGGTAACTGTACATAGAGAAGCACATAGTTTCTTGTCGGATATCAGTCTGTTTAGATGGCATCCAAAGAAAAAAGGAAAAGTGGTGTTTGGACATACTGATGGAAGCCTATCTATTTTTCAGCCAGGTAAAAACTGATATGATAAAATATATTTTTTTTTATATATATATATCACTTGTTTCTGTATATGTGTGTAATTCTACACCTCTTTAATAAATATTTTATAATGTGGGTACATACATAAAACTTGTTCTTAATTCATAGTATTCCTACTCCTCCCATATCACAAAAATGTTTTCTTAGTTATACAATACAGAGCATTTTCTTTACATCTCCTTCTTTACATTCTTGTAATTAAGCCATTGACATTGGAGCCATCATAATGATTTTGAAAGGATGCAGACCAGTATTAGTTTTCTTTTAAGTTGCTTTCTTTATACTACCAGAAAAAGACAAAGAATTTGTTTAGGTGAAAACATAGATGTATTTGAGAATAGATCATGAAAATTTTGGTGAACAGATAAATTCATTAAAATGTGTTTCAAAACTAGGTAATACTGAAAAATAGATTGTAACAGAATAATAAAATAGAAGTACCATTACTGTGATTACACTTTAAATGTAAATTCCTTTAATATGTGTCTTAACATTCAGATAAAGTTGAAAACATAGGCTTATCCAAGTTAGCTGTTTTATTAACTGTGTGTTTCTAGTTTACAGTTTATAGTCAAAATTTGTCTGACTTTTTTAACTGGCTTCTAAAAAGTAACAATACACTGAAGAAAGTGAAATCAGTAGGGTGAATATAGACCCTCTATTTAAAAAAAAGAAAGTGGAGGGGCAGACATGGGTGACACAAAAAATTGGTACTTTAACAGTAAAGAATAGAGCGCTAACTTTTTTGCTTTGAGATTGAAGTTCAGCCCTCATCTACCTCATCTAAAATGTGTTGTCGTTGGATCAGAACTTAGTTTGTCACCAAGTGAAATAAATTTAACAAAATTCCTATTTCTTACTTTTAAAGGTTTCAGTCCTTTTGTAGATATCCTACAAAATACTATTGTGAAAGAACCTGAACATCCACAAGTTGTGGTTGATTGCTTCAAAGTTCAGTGTGATTGACTCGCTGAAGGGTCTAGTATTTCTATTTTAGTGTGACTCATTGCTGCATAATTAGCAGACTACACTTTTTTTTAATTACTGTTACCTACTTAGGTTTTTCTCTCATGGCTGTATTTTCTTTTTTATTAACTCTAGACTATCCATTAATGTAGCAGAACATTTAGTGCAAAGAAAAAATATGCAACAATTAGTACCTAATTTTTAGAGGAGTACAATGCAGTCATATAGAACCAAATATTCTGTACTATTTTACCTTTCATTTGTTCTCAAAATAAGCCCAGCTTGTTTAAATGACCTGTGAGTCAGTTGCATGATCTATAGTGCTGATATCTTCTCTTAACGAAAATTAAAATTTAACAATTAGGGTTTTCAGGAGGTTTCCTTTTGGATTCTTTTTTGAAGTACAGGTAAAACTGAATAACTCCTAGATATTCATACTCTCTCCCAGCAGAGACTGTGCTTTCTTGAGACTGAAGTGTTTGAACATGGCTGGCTTTGATCATTCAAAGACTTTTTGCTTTTAGTTCTTGTATAGCTAACTGAAAAATGATTGTTCTGCTTTGTCGTCAGTTCTTGTTTTTCATTTCAGTGTTGTTTTCAGTCAACCAAAAAGGTGAACTGAAGTGTAAGGAGAGAATATTGTTTAAAAAAGTGAGAATCCTAAAATTTTTGGCAAATTAAAGCAGTTATCCGATCATATTTCTGATGTTATTCCCAAGGCTTCAGAAGACCAAAGAAAAAAAGTGGAACAGAGAAATTGGTTTGTGGTGTTAGTTGTTGTGCAATCTTAAATTATTTTCCCCATTTCTGATAACTGATTTTATGAAGTTACCTGATACAGAATGCACACCAACAACATTTTCCCTAGAAAATCATGATGAGAGCTGTTTTAGTATTCAGAATGTTCCCTAGTGAACAAAAGCTTTTCAGCTTTTATTTAGCCTGTATCAGAATAGGCTTTGTTCTACATCAATTATTAAGGAATATCCGTAGGTTCTGACAGTTATCATAAGACGAAAAATTAATTGTAGTCTCCAGTACCAAAATTGAAAATTAGATAGAAGCTGAATAGTAGAAGATGTCAATCCCTTATTTCTAGAAAAGGGGCACAAAATTAGTTTGGTTTTTTTTTAGTACAAGATCACAACTTCAAAAATGCAGCTCTATTTCATTTGGACTGGACACAGGACTAAGATCCATCTTTTTGTAAAAATAAAGAGTGGGAAATAAATACGTTAAAAAAGTATGGTTCTTGATAGTATGGATCATCAAGTGAAATATGTCTTCTTTTTTGCAGATGTCAAATTAGATACTTAATGACCTGGTTTGGCTACAGGATCTATAAATTCTTCATAATTGCACACATAGATTTGTGGAAGAAAACGTCTAAAGGCATTTGATTATAAAAACTTTTTTGACTGCCACAGTTCTGTTCTAGTTCATACTACCTTTATTTTGCCTGTATTTGCTGTGGTGTGCAGTTTTACTTATACTCAATGATTGTATTTCCGGCTGTGCTGTAGGCCTTTACTCCTGGAAATTGTTAGAATTATGTATATGATTTAACATACTTTCTTGTAAAATTATATTAATAAGCCTGACAGCTGTTTCTGTTTTCTGCTGTATTAAAAATAAAGTTGGATCTAATGGAACCAGAACTGCTTTAAGTCAAATACTGCAAAGCCAGCTTCATTAATTTTGCTGGTAAAGCCGGTAGAGCAAGATAGTGAAAATTTCAGGGAGAGGTAAAGAATTATGTTTGTGAACCTTGTAACTATTGAAAGGATATACTTAATTTCATTTTTAAATGATCTGTTTTCTTGTGCACTTAAAGGTTCTAAAAATCAGAAACATGTCTTAAGACCAGAGTCTCTTGAAGGAACAGATGAAGAGGATCCTGTTACAGCACTGGAGTGGGACCCTTTGTCAACTGACTACCTTCTTGTTGCTAATTTACATAATGGTATTCGACTAGTTGATTCTGAATCTCTGTCCTGTATCACAACTTTTAGTTTTCCCAGTGCAGCAGCATCTGTTCAGTGTTTAGCATGGGTTTCCAGTGCACCTGGAATGTTTATAACTGGAGGTAAGACTTATTTCCTGACTTATACAAAGGTAATAAATACAGGACTGAATCTTCAAAATTAGTACTCCAAGTGTGATCTTTCTTTTTCTTAACATTTCTACAAATGAAAGCATACAAGACACCAATGTAAAACTAGAAAATAATAGAAAACTACACTGAGCAGTTTTTACTTGTTTTAAATTTGTTGGGTACATAAGCAAGTGACTTTCTGCTTTTTTTGATACTAAATAATACTTTTCTCATGCACGCTTTTGCAACAAATATATGAGTTACTTTGGGAATAGGAATAAAAATGCGTTATACTAATGGATGTCACTTTGAAGATTTATAAATTAAGAAAAAAGAAAAGAATCTATTTGTTTTCCACACCATAGACCTTACTGCTCAAGTTGAACTAATGAATAAGGAAACTGAGACAGTGAGAATATTTTATGAAAAAGGTTCCATAGAATTTATCCATGTTTAAATAGCTAATATTAGTAATTATTGTTGTTAATGTGATATTGCCACAGAGGTAAATGGAAGATAAATAGAATATTACTATGGAGGTTCCACTAGATGATCTCCAAAGGTCCCTTTCAGCCCTAATTATTCTGTGATTCTATGGAGATGACAGTGCCTGCTTATAAAATTCTTCTTAGGATTTGAAGTTTAATTCATTGTTGTATTTTTGCATAAATCAATCCTTAAACCACATATCTCTGTGTTGTGTTTTGTTTTTTTGTTTTTGTTTTTTCTTAAACTTCAGATTCTCAGGTTGGTGTGTTACGTGTTTGGAATGTTTCACGTACAACACCTATAGATAATTTTAAATTGAAGCAAACGGGTTTCCATGGTTTGCATGTGCTAAGTTCTCCTCCAAAGAAAAAGCGTAAGTGTAATTTTGATTGTTATTCATTGTAATGGCTGCCAGTTAAGAAAATCTTGTTTACGAGTCTTGTTATGTCCAAGTCAATCCTTAAGTTTGGACAGCTATGTAGTTCTTAATTAAACCAAGTACCCTCTGCTGCTGGTGGACTAGACAAATGCATAAAGGATCAAGTACTTTATAAGATCCTTCTTTAGCATGCCAGACTTCATACAGGAATTCTCCATTTCTTTATTTTTAAATCTCATTGGAATACAAAGCATTTTACTCTTTATAATTGTTACTTATTATTGAAATAAGAAATAATCTTCTCTATTTCTGTCTTTTGCTTTATTTTGTTAAGCACGTTCATCACAGTATCCTACTAAAAATCATCATACATCTTCAACAAGTGAGGCTGTTCCTCCTCCAACTTTAACCCAAAACCAAGCATTTTCTCTTCCTCCTGGTCACACCGTCTGTTGTTTTATGGATGGTGGAGTGGGGCTTTACGACATGGGAGCCAAAAAGTGGGATTTCCTTAGAGATTTGGTATGGTTCATCTGTCTTTGAAATGAGAGTTTATTTGGCTTACACACTTTCTTCTAACAGGAAAAAAATGGGGAATGAAGTCTTCACAGCAGTTTCTATCAAAAAGACTCTAAATTTCTAGGAAACAAATGACAGTTCTGAAGTTGAAAATAGTTCTTTATTGCAAAGGACTGAATCCTGTTGGCAGTATTCTGGCAGGTTTTTTTCATCCAGAAATAAAGATTTAAGGACTTGTGGGTTTTTTTGTGGTTTGGGTTTTTTTTTTTTAACTAAAATTTTAATTTGATGGCCTTCTCAGAAGGGCTGGAGGGTTTTCTATAATTCAGAAAAAGGATTCTAGTCAAATCAGAGGGATATATGGTGAGTTCACTAAATTTAAAATTACAAAGACTGAATTATGAAATTTTTGTTGAAGCTGAAATTCAGAATTGGGTTTATCCCATATTAGATGAGCCTCTTCTTCACAGGGCGCTTGGTTATTCTTAAGTATTTGTCTCTTTTCCTCTTTACAAGTTCCCTTTTCATTTGGAAAAAAACCCAACAGTTTTCAGTTGTAATCCTGTATGTGTTTGAATAGAGGCTATTGGTTGCTGTTCTTTTTCCATTTTTAATGGGTTTGGTCCTGTAAAGCAACTGAGGCTTAAAAAAAATTCTTGCATATTAACCATGTTTCATGTATTTCCCAACTTAAATTCTACAAGTGCATGTCTTAGAAAACAAGCGGCTGACATGTGGAGTTTCTAATGGATTGAAATTTAAGCTACAATAGACCATAGACTGTATCTAGAAACACAGAAAATTCAGTGGGATACTAGACAACTTGTAGAATATGTTTAACATACAGAGCTTTATTTTGCAGTCACATAGTTTATAAAAAAAGGGCAACATTAATTCTGTTTTAAAAAATTAACTATTTTTTCTTTTTTTACTTTGTTTTTTTTTTTACTCTGTTTTTTAGCAACTCAGTTCCAACAGAAATTGTTAACAAGTTTCTGGCATTGTGTGCTCTGTTGTTTCAGGAAATAATTTTTCTGTCTTTAATAATGATCTCTGAAAGAGAGTACTGTTATAGTCTAAGCTATTTTATGACTTTTAATTTTGACTGATAAACCATAATATGCAGGTTTTTTGGAACTCTTAATTGACCTGACAGGTCAATTAAATACAGTGTATTTTAGAGTTTGATCTAGAGTTGGTGTTATTAAAAAATCAAATGTAATAAAAATGGATTAAATATTTGTTTCATTTAAGGGACATGTTGAGACCATCTTTGATTGCAAATTCAAACCTGATAACCCTGATCTTCTTGCTACAGCTTCATTTGATGGCACAATAAAAGTTTGGGACATTAATACTTTATCAGCGGTTTATACATCTCCTGGTAATGAGGGGGTTATTTATTCCATTTCTTGGGCTCCAGGTAAGAATATTTTGCTTTATGTCTTAATGTTCTTTGAATTAGCATTGACTGTAGAATTTGTCATCTAAAAGTATTCATTTTAGATAGAAGGGTATCTTATAAGGTTTAAACAAAACTAAATTATATATGAAACCAGTAGAATTCAATGCTTCAGACCTTTCTGAGGCTTTACCTTATGACTAATGATCCCAGTATTTCTCAGTCAGAAAGGAGTAAGGAAAATCTGTAGAGCCTTTCTAACATTGCATTACACAAACGTCGAAAAGACTGTCTTTGCTTGGGAAGCAGCTACTTAAAGTTCATATTATATTTTGTGCTAAAAAGTGGAACATACATATTTAGTTCTTTCTCTTCCTTCTTTGTGTAGGATTCTAATCATCGAAGAGCTCTGCTTTTACCTAATTAGAATAGGAAGTGCCTTTTCTGCAAGGCATCTACTTTTTCTTAGAGAAATCACTGAAGTCAGTGGGAAATTTTCTTTTCAAAACTGTGCTGCAACACTCTTCAGTGTACCTGGGAATATACTACTAATAGTTACTAATGTCAATAGTTAATGATAGGTTGACTTTCTTCTGTTCTATTTCACTGGACAGGAGATGTGTTTTTTAAAAAATCTGAGTAATTCATCTCACTGCTGTTCTCTCCTGGGCTTTTAAATTCTAAGAAATAATACCTGACAGGAAAAGAAATATTGTGATGGGAAGCTTAATGTAATCTGCATATGTGAAATGAATTTGCACTTTTTTCATTTCAGAGAGTGTCTTACAGATAATTTGTCTTGCTATATGTAAATTATGGCAGTATGAAATATGGTGTTTATATTTGGTTATTTTGTTTTGAAGTTTAAATTCAGTTTGTAGTAGTATCTCAAACTGAGGTAATAGTTTGTTCACTGAAGGGGGCTGGTTTTCTTAAAACCCAAAAAAACAAAACCAAAAAAAAACCAAAATAAAATTAAAAAAACCCACGAAGCTAATTGGAAGCATGTGCTTTGACTCCATTCCTTACCATCCTGTCCAAAAGCTCATGTCCCTCCTGGCCAGAGCTTTTGCCGGTTCTTTCACATCCTTTACTCTTAGACATTTCCTCTCTACCTTGTACTTTATCCCTAATATATATTCCAGTACATATCACCATTTGTATTTGGTCTCAGAAGGTCTTTGGAAAAAGTGATTACTCCTTTTTTTTTTTTTCCCCTTTTCTCATCCTCCTACCTGAATCTCTTCCCATTTTATATATTTACCGTGCTATACTCCTACATAGATTGTCTTTTCTGCCTCGGAAGGTTGGAATAAAATAACAGTCAAAACTTTCCTATAAATGTGCCATTTATGAAAAGTATAGCTATATTGGGATAGAGAGTCACTGTGGTGAGGAGAATTTAGTGGCTTTTAGATTAGGCCTGAATTCAGTTTTCGGGTTCTCGCTGTGGAGTTACGTATTCAGATTTTCCACCCTGTAGAGTGTAGTTACAGATTCAGGTACGTTCTTAGGGGGTTGCATGCAGCAGTGGTGCAAGATTAAGAAAACAAACTATTGTTAGATGTTCTGTCACATTTTTATGATTTGTCTTAGTACATAGGGAAGTACATCTTCCTTTAAAGGAAAGTGTTCTAGTTGCTACAACTTTAAGGTTGAAACATTGAGATTGTATCTCTTTTCTAGTTTGAGTCATATGCATCATGGTCACTATGTTTTTAAGGGCAAGACTTTCAGCAGGCATTGAGAATACTTTTTACAGCAATACAACTTCTCTTTTACCTTTCCTCAAAACAGGAATGTAAAAAACAGGTCCGGCTTTTTCTGAAATTGATGTTTGTGACTTAGTAGCAAGTGCTGGCCTTAAACTATGGAGAATTCATCTTTATGTGCCACTGATGTCTCCTATTGATATTTCATTTCTTCAATTTAAATTATAAGCACAAACAATATTGCGATCTTATAATTATCATGACACTTTACAAATATCTCTCTTTAAAGGAGATCTGAACTGCATAGCAGGGGCAACATCCAGAAATGGTGCCTTCATCTGGGATGTTCGAAAAGGCAAAATGATAACCAGATTCAGTGAGGTAAGATGAGATTATTCTTGTTGTCTATATAAAATGTAAATGAGTCATTTCCTCTAGTGTCAGTAAATAGATGGGTCGAAGTTCATATGTTTTTAAAAGGTGCTAGAATATAAAAATCTATAGAATTACGTGGGTGCCAGTTTACCTGTGTGGCAGAAGTATTTTATTTCCTCGGACTGGATTTGTGACATGAGAATAATGAAGCACCAGATGGTCTCCATTATATTAAAATTGGTCCTGTAGGGATACACAACAAAAGCAATGCTGATTCCTTCTTAAATGTGTCAATGTGTATGGACATATAGACTTGGCATCAAAATGCAAATTGTGTTCTGTATTTTTAAACATAAGGTTTTCAGTCCCTGAAGTCTAGATCAATAAAGCTCCATTTTGCAGCACACTAAACAGTATGCCTCATTTAGAATCTTGCCTTGTATAACCTGAAATCTATCCAGGCATTTTTAAGTCCTGAAACAGTAGCATAATTTTTATTGGCATAAAGGAGCTGTTGTAATACTATGTTGTAGTACTCTACTCTATTTTGTGTATTCTTAGTATATAGCTATAGTCTTCAGATTATGCAGACGTAATTAACTGTGGTTAATGTGATACTGTGGTACACTGATGTGTCTGCATCAGTGTACAAGGGATGCTCTTTAAGAAGAGAGGTAGAGGTGTGGGAAGAGGCATGAGCAGAAAACACATTCAGGAGTTCTGGAATTCTAACACTGATCTTTGCATTTGTGCTACTAAGCATCTTTTATGTAGCGCTGATCCTGATTCACATCCCATTTAATTTTTACTTTACCATGATTTTTCGTGCCCACTCACTTCATTATTCCAATAAGTAACTAACCTTATTCAGAATCATAGAATGAGTAAGGTTGGAAAAGGACCACAGTGTGTGTCATATGGTCCAACCTCTCTATTCAGGTAGCGTTGTCCTGGAGCACATTGCACAGGTTGTGTCCAGATGGTTCTTGGATATGTCCAGTGAGGGAGACACAACCTCCACAACCTCTCTGGGCAATCTGTTCCAGTGCTTGGTCACCCACACGGGAAAGTTTTTCCTCGTATTCAAGAGGAACTTCCTGTTCATCAGTTTCTGCCTGTTGCCTTTTGTCCTATTGCTTAGCACCACTTAGAAGAGCCTGGCTTCATCCTCTTGACACCCTCACTTCAGATATTTGTATACATTGATGCGGTTCTCTGTCAGTCATGTCTTCTCAAGGCTGAACAGGCCCAGATCTCTCAACCTTTCCTCATAAGAGAGACGCTCTGGTCCCTTAATCATCTTTGTTGCCCTCCCCTGGACCTGCTCCAGGTGCTCCATGACTCTCTTGTACTGAGAAGCTCAAAACACAGCACTCCAGATGTGGCCTCACTAGGGCTGACTAAAGGGGCAGGATCACCTTCTTCAACCTACTGGCAATGCTCTTCCTGATGCACCTCAGGATACCACTGGCCTTCCTGACCACAAGGGCACATTCCTGGCTCATGGACAACTTGTTATCCACCAGGACCCCCAGGTCTTTCTCTACACAGCTGCTTTCCAGCAGGTCAGCCCCCAGCCAATACTAGTGCATGGAGTTATTCCTCCCCAGGTGCAGGACCCTGCTTTGCCCATGTTGAACTTTAGTAGGTTCTTCTCTGCCCATCTCTCCAGCCTATTGAGGTCCCTCTGAAAGGGCTATACCACACCTTGGGGTATTGGCCACTCCTCCCAGCTTTGCAGCATCAGTGAACTTGCTGAAGAGGTATCTGCCCCTTCATCCAAGTCATTGATGAATAAGTTAAACAATATTGGGCCCAGTATTGAAACTTGGCAGGCCTACAAGTAGACCCTGTGCCACTAATTACAACCCTCTGAGATCTGCAGTGTAGCCAGTTCTCAACCCACCTCACTGTCCACTCATCCAGGCCACACTTACTGAGTTTGCCTCTGAGAATGTTGTGAGAGACAGTGTCGAAAGCCTTGCTGAAGTTGAGATAGACAATATGCACTGCTCTCCCCGCATCCATCCAGGCAGTTGTTTCGTTGTAGAAGGCAATCAGGTTGTTCAAGCATGATTTCCCTCTAATGAATCCATGCTGACTTCTCCTGATCACTTTCTTGTCAGCCATGTGGATAGAGGTGGCCTATAAAATGAGGTGCTCCATCACCTTTCCAGGGATTGAGGTAAGGCTAATTAGCTGATAGTTCCCTGGATCCTCCTTCTTTTCCTTTTTGAAGACCGGGGTGACATTTACTTTCTTCCAGTCCTCTGCCAGCACCTCTCCTGATAGCCACAACTTTTCAGAGATGATCATGAGTGGCCTCACTGTGGTGTCCACCAGCTCTCTCAGGACTTGCAGTTGCATCCTGTCAGGGTACTTGGACTCGTGTATGTCAAGTTAGTCTAGGTTCTCTAACCCAGTTCTCCTTGACCAAGGGAAAGCTTTTCTTGCAACATTCTTTTGTGCTGGTTCCTTGGGTCAGAGATTCCCAAGGGCTGGTCTTGTCAGTGAAGACCAATGCAAACAAGGTATTCAATATCTCTGCCTTCTCTGTGTCCTCTGTTACCAGTTTCTCCCCTCCATTTAGTAATGGGCCTACATTATCCTTTGATTTCCTTTTGTTATTGATTGTTATTTAAAGAAGCCCTTGTTGTTTTCCTTGACATCCTTGGTCAGATTTAGTTCCAGATGGCCCTTGGCCTTCCTTATGTCATTTCTACTTACTTACTCATTCCAAGTGACCTGACCCTGCTTCCGTCTCCCATGTATTTCCTGCTTATGCTTGAGTAATGACAGGAATTCTTTGTTCATCCACACGGGTCTCTTGCCCCCTTAACCCAATTTCTTGCTCGTTGGAATGCATCATTCTTGAGCCTGGAGGAAGTGATCCTTGAATATCAACCAGATCTCTTGGACCCCTCTTTTCTGTAGGGCCTGTTCCCATGGGATTTTTCAAAGAAAATCCCTGAAGAGGGAATAGTTAGCTCTCATGAAGTCCATGGCTGTATCTTACTTGCTGCCCTGCTTCTTCCTTGCCTGATAGTGAACTCCGCAATCTTGTGATCACTATAGCCAAGGCTGCCCCCAACCTTCATATGCCCTTCAAGGCCTTCCCTGTTTGTTAGTATTAGCACACCATTCTTTGTGGGATCCTCCACTACCTGTTACAGGAAGTTGCCATCAACATTTCAGAAACCTCCTGGACTGTTTGTGCTTTGCTGTGTTGCTTCTTCAGCAGATGTTGGGTTAGTTGAAGTCCCCCACAAGAACCAGGGTCTGTGACTTTGAGACTGCTTCTAGCTGCCTGTAGAAGGCTTTATCTGCTTCCTCCTCCTGATCAGATGACCTGTAGCAAGCCCCCACAACAGTGTCACCCTTACTAGTCTCTCTTTTGTTCTAATCCATAAGCTCTCGACTTGCACATCATCCACCCCAGGACAGAGCTTGATACATTCTAAGTGTTGTCTCACACAGGGGGCAGTTCCACTACTATGCATTCCTGGTCTATCTTTCCAAAACGTTGTGTAGCCCTTCATGACAACATTCCAGTCATGCAAGCTATCCCCTATGTCTCCATAATTTCAGTGAGGTCAGAGGGCTGTGACTGCTCAGAGATCTCTAGTTCAGCCTGTTTGTTCCCCATACTTTGTGTGGTGGTTTACAGGCACTTTATAGAGTATTTGATTGTGTCAGTATCCCTGTGGGGGTGCAAAGGGACATCCCATAGTCCTGTCTAGTGGTTATGTCTTTGGCTGCTTGTGCTTGCTCCAGGTATTCTCTCTTGGGCCTCCTTATACTAGGTGGTTGCTGTTGTTCTCCCCTTTCCTACACCTTCTCTTTGGCAAGCCTGTCCCTGTCCTCTTTCCAATCTAGTTTAAAGCTCTCTCAATGAACCTCGCTAACTCCTGAGCTAAGATCTTTTTTCCTCTTTGAGACAGGTGGACCCTATTTGTTGCCAGCAGGCTTGGTTTTGTATAAACTGACCCATGATCAAAACCCCCAAAATTCTGCTGGTAACACAAGTCTCAAAGCTGGATGTTCATCTGGCATGATTTTCCTCTTTCTTTTCCCATCACTCCCTGCAACTGGCAGGACAGAAGAGAACACAACTTGTGCTTCAAATCCCTTGTGCAGTTGTCCAAAGGCCCAGAGGTCCCTCTTGATTGCTCATAGCGTTCTTTATTTAAGCTTCAGGTTTATAGTTATGGATTGCTTATTCTTCAGCTTGACCCAGTTTTGCGTCTTGGATCCTGGCAAGTATAGCAGTTTTCCTTTCCATCTCCGTAGTCCTAATTTTTTGGACTTGAGTTTTCAAATATTCCAGATGTATTGAGTACTCACTATAGTGTGGTTTTGTACAGTATACTTTACTGGGAGAAAAGGGCTGAAGCCCATAGTAGAATAAAATAAAATAAGAGTCAATAGATGAGAGAAAAAGGGGTGAATTATTTCTTATTGATAGGTATTTTGCATTTTTTGAAGCATGGAAAGAATGGAATCTTCTGCATTGCCTGGAGTCATAAAGATTCCAAAAGAATAGCAACCTGCAGCAGTGATGGATTTTGGTGAGTGTTATTGGAAGAAAAAAAAATTGCTAAATGCACTTCTCAAGTCTGTACATTTTGACAGTACTGTCAGTGATTAATGTTAAAACTTTTCTTACTGGACAAAACTAGAATTATATTAGTCTTCTGTACTTCTTAGGGTATGTTTCTCATGATTTTAAGAAGAAGATAAAGGAAACTTTTTCAAAAGGAATAGTGTTTAAGGCACTCTGATAGTGAAACTGAATTTTTATTTTATTTAGCCAAGAATATCCTATCATTCTTGTCTGTAGGGGACACTTTTCAAAAGCTATCCAACTGTATATGTTTTAATTTTTAAAATTTTAAAGTTTGTTCTTTCAAGAACTAGAAAGCACTATTTTAGAACAAAGTAATTACAATTGTACTATTATGGGAGTATAATACCTTATTTCTAAAAACGTGTGAATGTCCATTGAGACCAATTTTGCATATATTATGTTTTAGTACATTTTAAAAATCCTTCTTCATTAGTTTCCTCTGCTACGTGTGTCATTCCAGCTCAAACATAATGGGCATAAATTTTAGAAAACAATCAACTTCTTTTTTTTTTTTTTTTAGTTCCTAAAGATCTCTTTGTACCTTAAAACCATAACTACAACTTTGATTTTGGGCTATGAGGATCTTTTCAAGAAGGAGGTACTACAGTGGATATTTTTATAGGCCTTCTGAAGGACATGGACACTGAAGTCTAGTTAGATGTTTTCTTGGGAAATACATAGTTAGCCTTGTAGTTGAGGGGCTGATATTGTTTATGGCTGTTTCTCATATTCTTTCTGTATATCTTTTTGCTATCAGGCTTATTCGCACAGAATAAACCTTAATTTTGGATAGCCTTCTCAGAATGTTTTTTTCCTTATTATATTGCATTATAATTGGTTTCAGTATTATTCGAACCATTGATGGCAATGTTCTTCACAAGTATAAACATCCAGCTGCAGTGTTCGGCTGTGACTGGAGTCAAAACAACAAGTAAGTAAAAAATAACCCAAAGAATTGACAATATTTACTATTTAAATTGATTACCATTAAAGAAACACAAGATTATTAGAATGTGATTTTTACTGTGGTAGTAAACCACTAAAATTATCTGTTCCACAGTAGGATATGCCTGTAGCAGCTCTATATTCCCAGTAGTGTATCTCATTGACCACCATGAACTTCCTTAATTTCCAAAGGAAGATCTTTTCATATTGATGAGAGAAAAAAATTCTCTAGCTGAATATATAGTGGGGGGGAAAAAAACAGACATTCAGTACCAGGAAAAAGGGGTTTATATTGGCTTCTTTGTAATGACTGCTAAGCTGAAAATGTAGTAGGCAACTAAATGCACTATGATATATATTAATTTTTCAGATAATTCCTAATAATGACATAAGAACTTTTTGTCAGATTTAGTATATTTAATTGGATTATCAGTAGTTACTTTGTCTCTTGAAGAGGCAAAGAAGAAGCAAAAATATGCTGTTTTTTGAAGTAAATTGCAACTTACACATCATATTTATTTTTAAATTAAAACACATTGATCATCTCTCTGACTAAAGATTTTGCTGTTTATATTTTGCAGAGATATGATAGCTACTGGTTGTGAGGATAAAAATGTTCGTGTTTACTACTTGGCAACCAGCTCTGATCAGCCACTGAAAATTTTTACAGGGCATACTGCAAAGGTGTTTCATGTACGGTGGTCTCCTCTGAGAGAAGGAATCCTCTGCAGTGGCTCTGATGATGGGTGTGTATTTCTGAACTATTGGAAAACTTAAAACCTCAAGCAGAACTATTCAAGAAACTCAAAATATTTACTTGTACTAGTGTTTGCACCTTCAAAAACTTCAGGAATACCTAATAATCTAAATCTCTGCCTTGTTCAAATTCAGGCTGTAGCTTTGCTGTTAGCTTAATGTAGTATTTGGGCAGCAAGATCATTATCTAAGTTTGTCACAGCTGCTGTAGCAGTGCAGCCTTTTCAAATGGTTTCCCAAGAGTAGGATCAGTGACTGATACTGTTACTCCAAGGAAAACAAGGAGGACACCACAGTGACTGATGTTTTTTCAAAAATATACTTAAGTATAATCTGCATCTTTTTTGAGGAAAAGCACAGCAGTCCTCAGTAAGCGAGAGGAAGGATTTTCTGATTCTAAGCCACTTCCCTGCAGACTATACAAGATATTTTTTTAATAGATCTCAATTTGGAGTATTGACTTCTATTGCTTTCCCCATTAGAGGTTTATGCTTGAAACAAAATCTGTTAATTCATAGTGTAGTGATTCATGACAGAAAACAACTTCACAGCAAACTTCTTGACAGCAAAATACATTGAACAGGAGTGGCCCTAGAATTGAACCTTGAGGAGCACTGCTGATGACCAGTTGCTAGCCAGATGTAGCCCCATTCATGACAATTCTTTGGAGCCCTGATGTTCAGCCAGTCCTTCACTCAGTGCACCATGAACCTGCTTGTCCCACCATTGGAGAACTTGTCCAGAAGGATGCTGTCGGGTACAGTATCTGAACTCTTACTAAAATGGAGAGAAACTACATCCAGCACTTCCATTTCATCCACTGGGCAGGTGACCTTGTCAGAGAAGGATATCTGATTAGTTAACCAGGACTTTCCCTTTTTGAACCCATATTAACTGTGCCTGTGCCTGATGATTGAGTTATTCTTTAAATGCCTTTCCATAGTACCTAGTATAATCTTCACAATTTTTTCCAGGAACTGAGCTTAGACTAGCAGATTTCTTGGGTCTGTTAGAGGGCTGTTGAAGCCATAGGAAAGATAAATTTTACAGTTTTGCTTTTCTTTAGTTCTTTTTCCTCTTGAGAGTCCTAACAGAAAAATTTACTGCATATGCAGACATGGCCAACTTCTTTTCTCTCACTGACATGTAAGTGATGGGTGGCTGTCAGCTTTTGAAAGATTATGTGGTCAATGGAATAGTTTCTTACCCTGGTGAATGGTCTTTGGTGTACTTTGTATGCCATTGTAAACTTGAAGGGCATTGGCTCCACCCTCTCCTATTTCAACTTCTATAAACATATTGCAAATAAATATTCTGATTAATTTGAGGCTTAGAATGTTGCTGAAGTAGAGAGATAATGATATTTTTATAGGTGATTTGATGGACATTGGTCTTTTTTATCCTGTTTCAGTACTGTTCGAATATGGGATTATACACAGGACGCTTGTATTAATGTTCTTAGTGGACACACAGCTCCAGTACGGGGGCTGATGTGGAATCCTGAAATTCCTTACCTTCTAATATCTGGCAGTTGGGACTATACAATTCGAGTCTGGGACACAAGAGATGGAACGTGTTTGGACACAGTTTATGATCATGGTGCAGATGTATATGGTAATATTTTTAATTTGGTTTTATTTCTGTATTTAAATGCATTCTAATATATTTTAAATTTTATAAAATAATTTAATCAAATGGGTTATTAGATAAACTTTTTTGACTGCATTTTTAAATGCCCTCTCTGCTAGGATTAACATGTCATCCTAGTCGTCCATTTACTATGGCATCCTGCTCTCGTGATTCCACTGTGAGACTCTGGTCATTGACACCTCTTATAAACCCTCTACCAATAAATATCTTAGCAGATAGATGTTGGGATGATATTATCGGCAATACAGGTAAGTAAATTGTGTATACCATTGTTCTAATTTTCTTTATATCACTATTCTTCTTTTTCCTTTCGTTGTTTTTTTTTTTTTTTTTTAATTTTCTTGTATAAATCTTTGTGTGTGTTAGATCGTGCTGTGGAATCTGGTGCTCCTCCTTTGCTGTGTGGTAAAGTTTCCAGGGATATTAAACAGGAATTGGAAAAATTGTCAGGAAATCCTCGAGGAAAAAAACTAAGGTGGTTTTCAGAATGTTTTTCAGTAAGTATTCTGTAAACCTAAGTATGTTGTCAGTCTGCATGACTTGCTCTTCTGAGGTCAATCTCCAAAACTGAAATTTCTTCCTTCTTTACAATTTTTTTCTCTCTTTTTTAAGGGACCTTTGAAAATATGTAGAAATCAGTTCTGTTTCTTAGCAGTTCTGCATATAAAAATGTCCATGACTTAATTGTTTGTCAGTTGTGAACACCAGTTTTTTGCAAAGTGAAATTAGTGGGATAATTTAATTTTCCATGGGAAAGGTTTAATCTGACAACAATTTGCTATTGAAGAAAATGAAAATATGTGTTTTATCAAACTACATTAGAGTTTTTAATTTTGATTTATCAAAGGGACACCCTCAATACTTGTAAGGTTTGAACTGCCCAAGTGTCTGTACCCAAACCGCAGGATTACATTCTGGCAGCTGTAGATCTGGATGACCCATGCCCCAGTATCCATCTGTTTCCTTTGCTCCACAGCATAGTAATATTTCCTATAAATCCCTGCAGCCTCTCAGTGCAGTTGAGTTAAAAATATAAACTACTGGATCCCTGTGACTCTTTAGCTGCATAGAGGCTGAACTTGGGGTAGAACAAGGACAAAAATTACCTGGAACTAGAGATTGTGTCACGCACTGATGTAATTTAAGTCAGTATTCTGATCTATAAAGATCTAGTTCATCCAAAATATTTGTTATGATTTCTAGCTAGATTGAAGTGTATGATTTTGAAATGCTGAACCAATCTTCCTCAATTTTGAACCTGGACATTTTATATTTTCTAAAGATATATTTAATGGAATTCCTTGTTTCACAGAAGCTATACATTTTGATATCCCATGTTGATTTGAGAGTAAAACTGCTATAAGAGTACTAAAATTTTCCAAGAACGAAAGCTTTTTTTATCAGCTATACTCAGTGCTTTTTGAGTCCAGAAAATGAGATATTGTGCTATACAATGAGGAGACAAATAAGAGCTTTAAGGGACAGAAAAAAGAGAGAATATTTTTTATGAGGGGGCTTGTGTTGCCTTTTTTTGTTTTGTTTTGTTTTGTTTTTTCTAGTAGGATTTCATACTTTTTACCAGCTCAGAAATAACTGGACTTCTAAACTTGTAATCCTGTTATTCTTAGGAAAGCTCCTTCAGGTCAAATGTTTAATGATTTTTTTTTTTAAGCTTTTAAATTCTCACTCTCTTCTAGACCTCATTCAGTGTTAAACTGTTGTCCTAGATCTACAGAAGGATTGATTCAAAGGCCAGACCAATGGAAGTGCTTAAAATCTATTTTTAAAAAAGAATCACCTTGATCACTTTGTGCTGCAAGCTTTTGTGCATATACATATGCCATATGTGTCTATTTTAAGATTTAATATTAAGAAAGTAAACCAGGTTCTGGCAGTCAAGCCTTGGAGCTGTTTTTTTTCCTTGCCTTTTTTTTGCCCATGCCTTCACTTTACAGAAAATGATAAACAAGTACTGGGGCAGCTCCTGCATCCCAGCAGCTGAATGTTGTTTATGCCAGCAGTAGCCACAAGATAGCTTGTATGTCTTTGTGAGGAAAAGGGAAAATTCTAATGGCAAGCCCTCAACTATGTCTACACATAACCCAATACTTACATTCATGGATCTTGCTGTATCTTTACAACCTTCAAGAAGACTGAAGGACTTAGAGTATCTTGAACTAATTCACGCCTTCATAATGAAGGTTATAATATTGAAATGGTCTGACATTGTTTTCTTGGAGTTGACAGACAAATGTTTTTGAATGTCTTCATAAGTTCAAGTTTCTCTCTTGAGCATGACTGTAATACAACTTTTCTTCCCTAACAATTTCAGCCTCCTGGAGGCAGCAAAAATTTATGGGATTTGGTTGCTGTAATAAAAGGACAGGATGACAGTTTGCTTCCACAAAACTACTGCAAAGGAATTATGCATATGAAACATCTCATTAGATTTAGGATGGTAAGTGAAACATGAACAATATGTGAAAATGATTGTTACTCCATATAGTATTTCACTCTTTAAAAATAACATTTAATGCTTTACAAAAGGGTTACAATTTATTTCATGTCCGAAGATATTTGTGCAATACCGGTTCCATCTGCAATACCAGTCTGTTACAATAGGATCTAGCTAAGTCTGCATGACTTCATACTTATACTGCATACTCAGTGTTAAAATGATAGTTTACAGTTTTTAACTAGAGAAACCTTTTTCAAAATAATTAAAAGAAATTGCAAAGCTTCAGCTATGAAGCGAGTTTGTCTTCCCTGTTATATACACTGTGCTTTTATATTCAGTAAAGTCAAATTACTTGATTATTTGATTATATAAACATGAAGTATGTGTCTGTGTTCAGATGCAGGAACAGAGGAATTCACATCAGAAAATGGAGGAGAGTTAGCAGAAATATATTCTGTAGGTCTGTGGAAAAAGGAGTGGAGAAACAAGAACCTGTCATTAATACAGATATGCAGCTTCAGAGCAACTCAGATGTGAATGTGAAATTCAAGTACTAGACCATAAATTTATTAGTAGCTGCATGTATGAATATGCAACCAGACATACAGTTTATGCAGAATATGCAAATTTGTGGTTCTGTCAGGGAGTTCTTAGCGGTACTAAAGAATCCCACTCTCTAATAACTGGGTTGTAAATAGAGGAAAGATTATCTACTGGTATTGGATCAGGCAATGCACTTGCCACCCCCAGGGGTAATACCTGCACTTGTTGTGTGAGGTAATACCTGCACTTTTTTAATACCTATCACCTGTTGTTTGCTGTTGCAGACTCTCTCTTTTGCAAAATCACAGGCTCTTTAAGAGTGTCCTACACACCTTGACTCTTAAATGATTCAAGTTTATTGGTGTTGTTAACTGTAATAATAGCAGCTGTTCTACTCATCCTGTGAAGCCCTGTAAATGTGTCCATGTGTCCAAAAACCAGATTTCTCAGCCAGTTAGCCTGAGAAGACATTAATTCTTGGCTTGTGCAGTGCAAGCAGTCTGTTTATCTCTGCAGCATGATTTTGTGCATTTATAACTCCGGTGACCTAGAATCACTACAGTCATTGCTGGTCATTTTGTCCCCTTTTTTGCTGACTCAGAATCTTGTTTGACAGCTTTAAGAGAAAGCAGGGGTAGGGTAATGCTGACTGCTTGTTAAGGGCTGCTGATACTGTCTTTTTCTTAGGAAACTGGATAATGGCATTGCAGCACCTAGACATTTCAGGATGAAGTAGGGATGCAGAGCAACTGTGTTTTTTCTGTTTTTAGGAAACAGAGAGGATGTTTTGGAGACTTCAACATAAAAATAATAAAAGATATAGAGATGCTGAGGAAGAAAAGTAACATAGTTTGTTTTAAAAAAAAAAAACAGATTCTTGGTAGCTGGCATTGGTCTACATGGCAGTTTGCTTTAGTGAAGAATGTTTAAAATTCATTCTCCGTCTTCCATATATGGTACACTAAAGCCATGAATAGCCAAATGCCATAAATGTGCATTGATGGTAGAAATAAACTGAGAATTGTTGAAATGTGAAGCTGGTTTTGCCTTTTTTTTTTCTGTGTTAACTATAATTCTGTTGCAACTTGTTTCTCAAGCTCTGCCAGATGAAGCAAGTTAGTCTTATTTCTCCAACTAATATAAAAATTGCACTAGTTGGGAATATAAATCATTTCTTGGTTATAAGATTCATGGGACATGACAGATCAGACCACAAAGCCTATTGTCAACCTGTTGAGCCTGCTATCTGTATTATTTCTTTATGTGACATCATTATAGTGCTAATATGTTCAATTTCCAGCTCTCTGTGGTTTATGTTCACAATTATTTTTTTTTTTTAAGTTTCAAAATATCAAGTTTTTTTGAGGGACATCTGGATGAATTACTATAACATATGAGAAAATGGTTGAGAATAAAAAATATATAAAGATATTAAAGGAAGATAATAGAAAATATATGTATATAAGCACAAAACACTAACACAGTTACTTTAACAACATAAAGTTCACTGTAGTCTCACTGAAATCAGTTCCAATTAGCCTTTTCTCAAAAGATTTTTTTTCTGAAATTATAACCTTTGTATTCCACTGTAATATTTGACAGTAGTGTATTCTTAAGAAAACTTGTTTTCTTCACAGAAAACTTTTTTATCCCTTTTTTTTTTTTCCCCTCAGTCCAGGGCACAAGAGCTGACAACAGTAAAGATGTCTAAGTTTGGAGGCGGTATTGGTGCACCAAGCAAAGAGGAAAGGCTCAAAGAAGCTGCAGAAATACATTTAAGATTAGGACAAATTCAGCGATATTGTGAACTAATGGTAGAACTTGGAGAGGTAAAACATCAGAACATTATTGAAGAATAACAAAATATGGTTTTCTGAAAACCAGCTATCCTGGCAAAGATGGAGAGTCAATAAATCGGTCACAAGTCCCAAAAAAAGTAATTGTGTTCCAATTAGCTTATTTTTAACATATGCAGTCTAAAGCATAACTCATTCCTTATTTAACCAGTTGTCAAATTTATTTTTAATGGAAGAAAAATTAAGCTAGTTTAAAATATGGCTGTTTCTCAAAATAAAATTATCAGGGTAAATGTATTGCTGCTTTCTTCTAGTGGGACAAAGCTCTCTCAGTTGCGCCTGGTGTATCAATGAAATATTGGAGGAAGTTAATGCAAAGGTAAGTTCATAAAAATATTACGGTGAGTTGTAGCTTCAGCCCATAAAAGGACACAGACAAGTTAGGAAGGATGGATACTAATATCAATTGTAGTTGTCTTTTGTTACAGCCTTCTAGTTGTGTTACTTTTTGTTCAGTATTTTTTGGAATAGAACTGTGGAGGATTTCCACAATTTTGTGTACTTGAATCAAAGGGTTGAACATAAATTGGAACTTCAGCTGTGAACTCTTTAGTGCAGTATCCACAGTTTGTAAGTCTGGAAAGGCAGATGGGTTTCAGTGATCTTTATATGGCTTCATCTAACACCTATGCCATAAAGATACATTTGGTGATTAATCATATGTGTAGATCTTTCTTGTTTATTTATTCATTTGTTTAACTAGGAGAGCTGATCAGTTAATTCAGGAAGAAAATGATGATGTCATCCCATACTGTATAGCTACTGGAGATGTGAAGAAACTAGTTTCTTTCTTTACTTCGAGAGGTCAGCTTAAAGAGGCGCTTCTTGTTGCACAGGTATTACTACATATACCAGTGGGGAGATGTATTTAGCTATTAGCTTATAACTCTGAATATGACAAGCATATTTAAAAGACTTGCTCTGTTCACTTTTGCAAAATAGTGAATAATGATACCTCATTCTTTACTTTCATATTGTACTGACCAGTTTTTATGCAAAAATCAAAAGAAGGTACGTCATGTTTATGTGTTGAAAGCCCGATTGTTCTAAACTGCAATCACATAACCATAGTGAAAACTGATGTGTTCAATTTTGATTGAAATAGAACCTGATTTTCAACAGTCGGTATTGACCTTAACATCAAAGACGTGTAGAATTTGATTTCTCTTGCATCTCTACTGAGAAATTGTCTGTCTGAATGTTTTAGCTCAATAGCTGAATAATGTACAGAATGGAACTTCGATATGTGCTTAGATTTAACAAGTTAAAATGTTGGAACCCTAAAGCAAATTAAAGCTTTAGAAAGATCTTAATTTTTCTTGTAAGAGAGAGATTACAGAAAAATACTACAATTCGTAGAATGATCTTTGTCTCAAAGATTTAATCAGATAATATTAAGCAACGGAATACCAGGACTTATTTTCCCTTGTAACTCAGCCCTGAGGTTTATCTCAGCTACACCTTAAAGCATATGAAAGAATTCACAGAATCACAGAACCAATTAGTGTGGAAAAGACCTTTGAGATCATTGAGTCCAACCCTTGACCAAACACCACTTTGTCCACTGATTTCATTTAACCTACACTGATCTCTTTGTATTTAATGTTAGAAATAAATTATTGCTAGACAGAAAAAAGTTAAGCTTATCCACTTTCTGCCACTGTATGCCAAACATTTCCAATTTGCTGTTATACCTGCTGAGAAGTATCTATAGACTTCATCCTTCATTCACAGCCACTTGCTCCTTGTGGTGTAAAAATCAAGGTTGTAGTCTTCACTGTCCATTTTAAGCATATTCAAATGCTGGAAAAATCTTGCCCAAATGCATAGGAAGGAAGAAGTCTATTGCTTCTGTAGAATTTCTTGTATGGCTGGATAAAATTAGACTAAGATGTAGCTATGAATAAGTTCATTAGTTTAAACATTTAAACATTTTCTTTGTTATAACTAGGCTTCAGAATTATTTTTATAGATCATAGGTTATTTTTGTTGTTGTTAAAAAATCGTATTTCATCTTCAGTTTCAATTGTGCATTAATTAATTTTTTATTCACTACCAGGCAGCTTGTGAAGGAAATATACAGATGTTACCACTCTCCACAGCAAGTGGATCTTCAAATTCTGGTGGAAGCAATACAGATGATTATAATGAGTAAGTTGTTCTAGTTTATATCTAAAACCTCATTTTAGTACAGAACGTAAAGTCATTAAGGGAGATAAAGCTTAGTGGTTTAATTTGGCATCAGTATTTTGAATTAAACAAAATATTGTGTCTTCTAGTACATAGTTAATAGAGTTACTAACTATCTGATGCTACACTAATTTCCCTCTTGTGACTCCTCCTGGCACAAAATGGATTTTTCATTTGTATGTTTTATAAATGTCCTTTTCACTTGTTTGATATTTAAGATGCATTCCTATGCCCTTAAATGTATAGCATATTAACTTAGAACTTCTGGTAAGCAGGGTAAGATTTAGCATTAACAGGTATTTATTATCCCCTATTATTATGCATCATCTGCTCCTGAAGCTTTGCTGTTTGTCATCAGTAAAGATTCTGACAACGTACACTAAAAATCAAACTAAGAGACAGTAGTTTTAGATTAGATATTAGGAAAAAATTCTTTACTGTGAGAGTGGTGAGGTTCTGGAACAGGTTGCCTAGAGAAGTTGTGGAAGCCCTACTCCTGAAAGTGTTTAATGCCAGGTTAGGTAGAGCTCTGAGTAACCTGTTCTAAGAGAAGGTGTCCCTGCCCATGGCAGGGACATGGAACTGAGTGATCTTTAAGGGCCCTTCCAACCCAAGCCATCCTGTGGTTCTGTGATTTTCATTGTCCATGCCCTTAAAAACACCCAAAGCATGCACCTCTCCTTGTTTAGAACAGTGCTCAAAAGCTGAATTATATTATCCAGTTATAGGTGTAGTAACAAGCAATTTAGAGGCTGTGTAGCTGCTTCATTTACATGTGCAATTTTTGAGCAATTAGAGAAATACTTGTGCAGAGTTTACAGGTATAGATTGGATATCCAAATATTTGATTTTTTTTTTTGTGTCAGTCTGAAGAGACAGTTCTGTACTTATGTAGATTTTGGGAAATGACCCCCATGAGTACACACCAACCTAAGCAGTGGATGAAGCTCAAACAGATTGCATTTTTCAAGCTAGTCGTAAGTCAAATATAGCAATTTTTAGGGTACAGAAGGAAATGCGGTAAATTTTACATAAATTAAGAGCCAAAGGACTCCAGCCTGAAAGTGACTTGCAGAATTCTTGTTTTGTTCTTGCAGGCTCCTGCACAAGGTCAGTAAAGAACTGGCAGATTGGTATTTTCAGGATGGCCATGCAGTGCTTGCAGCATGTTGTCATCTGGCTGTTGAAAATATAGAGGTATTTTTTTTGTCTTTAATTATGAAAAATCCGACATTGTCTTCCTTTCTCCACATGTGTTTTAAAATTTATGTATCACATTCTAAAATTCTACTTATACTTGATATTTGATTTGTATATATTTATGCAGAGTTAGATCCTTACAGTATTAAAGTTACTAGCAAAACTTCCTTGATTCTATTAAATTCAAGGTTTCTCTCATGTACAGAAAGTAATACATCGTCATTGAATTGTATATACACTATCTTGTTATATTAGAAAATATAAGATACTTAAGTACCTTACATATATACACTTAAGTGTTACTGTTTACTGTTTATGGTGATTCAAAATAGCTATTCAGAAATGGAAGTTATTGTTCTACAGAAGATGCAATCTCTGCCTTCATGAATTTACAGTCTAAATGAAAAAGTAAATAGGACAAAACCCCACCTCTCAGTACAAAAATAAAACTGACATGTAGGAAACATTATACTGGATTTTTCATTTTGTTTGTATTTTTATACAAATAGTTTCTTTTTCTCATTCTTTCTGGACTTAACGTGTTTTCCTCCTTTATCCCCCCCAAATAAATATAATTCCATCTCAATCATCTGTTCAGAGAGAAATTGAGAATCAATTAATGCTTGTATTTCAAAATAAGCATATTCCAAGTTGTTGTGTAGTCTCTTACTGTTTGACATTCTGCTATGCCTACCAGCAACTCTGGTTGGCCAGAGAGTGTCAGATCAGGAGAATCCTTCCTGGTTTCTTGTTTTTTTGAGTCTCCCTTCACTGAAAGAAAGGGGAAGTATATACTTTGAAAGTTAGTGTCATTACTTAAGATTAGATGAAATACCTATCACGCTTTTTAGTTATCATATCTGTGTAATCTCTTTGGTTAAATAAAGAAAGATTCTGCTAAAGGAAATCTATTTGTTTATTTAAAAACTGATTAACATGTGGTGCACAGTTATTTACTCATACAAGAGACCCAAATTATATATAATTTACTTTAAGTATTGCATATTTTTTCCTTCTGTAAAAAGCATTCTCATAAATTATTGTCATATGCTCAACATGGTGAATACCAAAAATGCTTATGATTTAATTTTTTCATTGAGCAAGCTTGCGATGGCAAACCTGATTCGTGGAAATGAACTGGAGCTGGCAGTCAGTGTGGGTACTGTCTTAGGAGAAAGTGCAGCACAAGCAACACATTATGCCCTAGAATTGCTAGCAAGAAAGTGTATGGCAGTAGCAACATGGTAAGAACTTCTTAATCCAAAGAAATTTTTTATTAATTTTTTTCCCTGACAAAACAATCAAGGTATTTCATTCTGGAACTTTTATGGAGACCAAACCACCATGGGTAGGTAGAATAAGAATTGCTGCTATTAGACCTTTGAAGTACAGGGCATACAAATGTTCTGCATTAATCTCAAAACACGTTATGTATGCATTGTAAATGAGAGAAGAGTCATTGTCAAACAGAGTGTGAAAACCATTGAAAAACCACTAGCTACTTGGGCAATAGGTAGCACATCAAGTCCTGGTCTGTCCTGAGTAAAAATAACTGCTTCAGACAAAGTAAGGCTGGAATTGAATTAAAAAGTCAAAAGGGACAGAAGCTCAAGTAGGATCTGTGAAGTGATTTTTAAGTACTTGTTTGAAAAATAAAGAAGCTAATAGTCTGAGGAATTATTTTATATCGGTATCAGGAATACAAGATAGCTGAAAAGATTTAAGGATGAAACAGGATTACTGTTGAATTCTGCAGGAGTAATTTCTCTGTTGCATATAGGGGAAACCTTCTCTGGTTTTCCTTTGAAGAGTACAGCTTCTTGTTTTTTACCTACCAGTGAAAAGCAGAAAACTGTCCCAAGATATATTTGGCAGCTATCAAGGTGTTTCATAATTAATATGTCATAGAAAAGATGTACTTAAACAGATGCTGCGATTAAGGATCAGTTTTTCTGCTACAGTTAGTGCGAAAATATCTAGAGGCAGCCTGAGAGAAACAGTGGAACTCCTCTCTATAGAGCATTTAGCCTGCCTTAGACAATGAAACATTGTAGAAAAAGATAAGAAATTGATGGCTTGCTACTTTCACTTTGCAATGATTTAGCAATGATTTAGGTCTGCAATGCACCAGTTTTAACAGGGTTGTTTTGGCAACTCCAAATCCAGCTGTTAAAGTCTCTGAAGCTCCTTCTTTGATCTCCCTGCTTTCATTGTGAAGGGTGATTTTTATGTAGCCTCCAATAGGAAGCACTGGATATGGAGTTAAGAAAAACAGTGTATATTTTTCCCAGTTCCATAACAAAAGCTTGTTCTGATCTCAGAGCTGTAACAAGTACTTACAGTAGTATGGCATTTATGTTTAGGTACATAAAGCTTCTGCAAACTTATGGCATATGTATACTGAAGTCTACATTGGCACATGTGATAAAATTTTTAAATGGTATACTGCATACTGCCCAAGTATACATCTGGATTTCACAGTGGGTTATACTGAACACCTACTGCAGCTACACTCTGCAATCCTGGAGTCTGATTTTCAACCATTACAACATATTTTTTCTATTGTGTAGGAAAAGATCAGGGATTCATGAATCTCTTCATATTTTGTAATAAAGAGATACTGACACAGCATAATACGTCTTGGTTCACTGCATTTATAAGGTCATGTGTGGGGAAGCTGCAGTTCCAGGTCTCTGACATTTGAAGGGTTCCCTTTTTGTTTTTATTGGTTGTTATGCTTAGGGATTTCCATCAGTTGGAAACATTGGTGAAATGTTTCTTGGGATTTGGTTGGTTCTTTTTAGAAGTGCTCTAAAATGTAAAAAATTTAAACAAATAAAGTAAAAACTAAACATTCATATCCTTCCCCAAACCTACAGCCTTGGGAAATTAACACCTAAATAGTGTTAAAAGAAACCTTCTACTATTCAAAAGGCTAATCATATTTTACTTGGGATAATGAATTCTGCATATGCAAACTCAGCCACCTAATTTTTATCTTTATACTTGACAGTGTTTTCAGCATAATTCTTAAAAATCATTCCAGGTAACGTTCCATGAGGGCTTCTTTGTATTATTTTTTTTTAAATAAACGTTGGATTCAGATTTTGCAAAATAACTTCTAATCACGTTAAAAAAATGTTTAAATTGCTTTTGAAGATTAGCACATGTGAGTAACTGATCTTAAAAATAGTTTAAGAAGCTGTGAAATATCCTATATTCTGAAAGAGCGCTTCTATAACTTGGAAAAGTGGCTATTGCACAGTAATAGTATAACAGATATTCCGAAGACCTTTTGGTATTAATTTCTTTAGGTAGTCAAAAGGCATTTCTTTGTTGTTGTTAGTCAGTTACCCTGACTCTTAGATTTTCTGTTGTCTTTTAATTATTTTCTTAGATATTCCTTCTGTAAAGTAGTACAAAGTTTTGTTCATTACTCTTTCAATGTCTTCCTATTAGCTTTCCATCACTTGGATACAGGTATTTTGCTTGTTTATAGAAAGAAAGATTTGAAAAGCATGTGACTTTATTAAGGGTAAAAATAAGATTAAACTAAGTGTTCTAATTTTTAATTGTGATATGTACTTGAAAGTGGGATAGAAAGCAGTTACAAATATTGGACAATAGCTTACTTGAACATTTTTAAGCCAAGGACCCCATTCTGAAAATCCAGAGGAACTTTGTAGGATTTTTTGCCTTACACAGGGGCAAGTCAGTCTTGTGGGTCACAGGAGAAATGATGTCTGCCTGAATAGAAGAATCAGAGGACAACCAGAATAGCCAGTTATTAATATTTGAATAGAATAATTGTTTAAGAATAATTTCCTAATATTACATGTGTTCCCTCCAACTGCTTATTGTGTTCAGGATAGGGTAAAAAATGGTAAAAAGTTAGGAAAATTTCAGAAATGTCAGTTTGCTCAAACACAGTTTTCCTTTGAGAAGAATGAAAATAGATATCACATTCTTTTCTTGTATAATCTCTCTATTTTAATGTCATAGAAGCATGCCATTCTGGATGACTGAGAGATGCTTTATGCTGATGACATGGAGCTTTAGAAGCCTGGAAGTTTGAGGATGGTTTCATGACAGAGAACCACATTATCATCTTTCCTTCTCTCAAATTGGATAGTTCCTACTCTCCCTTCCCATCCCTGGTCATGCATTCTTCCAACTCACTTTGAGGTGGTTCTGATGCTTTAGGATTCCACAGCTGTTTAATTCAACCAATAAAACAACAGAAAGTTCACTTGATGACTTCCACAAAAAGATTAAATAGATTAAACCTCATTTATTGCACCAAAATAGTCTTAGAGACTGAGATTGCTTCTGCACTTCTCTGGAAATAGTATTGTTTTCAGTAAACTCTTCTTTATAAAAAGAATGTTAAAGAGAAAACAGTATCCTCATATTACAAACCATCAAAAGTAACTACATGTCATCTTTTGTTTGTGCAGGGATTTAGCAGCTGATCTTCTTAGGATGATTCCTGATAACAAACTGCAGTTAGTAAAACTATGTGCTTTTTATCCTGGATGCATAGCAGAAATAAATGACCTGCATGAAAAGGTACAACATAAAAAAATTTACCTGAATGCTAATGAGAGGTTATGTATTGATTTTTTTACTAATTTCAAAAAACTTTAGGCCAAGTAAATCTGTAGGATGAATTTGTCCCCAGCAGTCTTATACATTGCTTGCCCTTCTTTGCTCTTTTAGTCTTCATTGACTTTATTTTCAGTATTGTGCAAGAAATTTAGTTCTTTAATTCTGCTCTTTGTGTACGCTTTCCATTACACAGGTTACTTTCCGAAGTAGCTTATGATCTTCAGAATTACCTGTCAGTATGATTTGCAACCTACTAGATATGCAGCCTAATCATGTTGTGGCAGATCAGCTTTCTTTACTAGTCTGAGTTGTTTTACATCTTATCCCTCTAATGTCCTTAAATCCCTCCTTTCCTCTTTAGCAGCAGAAGGGTCTTCTCTGCTGACTCCCTTAAGGTTCAGCTCAGACTGCACATTTATTAAGCAGTAGTAAAAAGTTCACAAAAACATTAGCAATGGAAACTGGTACTGCTTAAATTAAAGTTACAGAACGTTCTCCCCCGTGTTGTTCTCTGGTCTAGATGGCTTTCTTAATGTGCATCATATACAGGTACATCTTTCAAACAATGAGTCCTTCAGAGAGAATTTTTTTCTTATTGTTATGTTCAAACATCAGTGTTTCTCTGCATCTTAAAGAATTGTTTGAACATTTCTGTCACTTTCTGGCAAAATGTTTTTTTCCAGTGCAATCTTCCTGATGCAGAAGAATGTATGCGGTTGGCAGAGACAATTCAGGCAGACGGAGATATATTTGAAACGATAAAGTACTATCTGTTAAGCACAGAACCTGACAGGGCTCTCCCTGTTGGCATTCAGTATGTGAAAGGTAGGTACTTGGATGAAGAAACCTTTTAAAGTGTAAGTAATTTGTATAACTTGCCTCTTGACATATTTTTATTTTTCAACAGAACAACTTTGTGGCTCAGATTGGACTTTGGATTCAGTCTTTCCATATCTTGATCTTCTAAGTTACATACGCACTGAACAATTAATGTTACATCATTGTAGTGAGTGAGTATATTTTCATTACTTAGAAAGTGGAACTTTCATTAAAGGAAACTTTAGGAACTTATAAACAAATATATACACATATATATATATTATATGTAGGTGAACACTGTTACTATCATTGTTTGCTTACCAAAAGAGGGATACAGAAAAAATTTTCAGCAAGCTGGCTGATTCTCAATCTGGAGAATAGAATGTGGAAATTTCCTAAATTTTGAAGGTTTAGCAAGAAAAAAAAAGATATTTTACTGCTTCTTTCTCTGTAGCATATTTACAAGGGGTGAATCAATGGTCTTATGTGAAGACCTTCACTTTGATCTGTTCTGGTTTCAGTTTCCTGAGGAAAAAAAGCAGTGGTACCACACGCAATGTGGGCTTTTATGTCAGTGTTAAGAAAATTTGAGCTGCCGCTCTCAGTATTAACTCTATAATAGTTGGAAGCTGTGGTTCATCTTTATGACAGATGGTTGAAACTAGGCCTAGATGCCTACACAAGTGTACGTGTGAAGAACTAAAAGGAGAAAAAAACTGGGGAAATTTGGTGAAACTAAAGTCCTCGCTAATATTTGGGGCAATTTTGTTTCCATTTAGAGTTCTAGCACATTAAAAGCTCTGAGTGTTGTTTTTGTAACTTTACATGATTGTGCTTAAAAACTGTGTTGTATGTGCCATTTAAAATTTAACAATGGAGATGAGTATAAAACACACAGAGTCTGTTTTAACAACTGCATGGCACAGAAAATAAGCATAATCAGCAAACATATATTCTCCACAAAAGGTGGATGGATAAATTAGGTTTTAATATTATAATATGAATATGAGTTTGTTTAATGTTTTGCAAATGCTTGTTGTTTTTCATGATTAATACTTGTCCATTTATAGATTTCGGAATGAGTTGCTGATTTTGTGTGGTTATATTGGTGCTTTACTTGCTATCAGAAGACAGTACAATAGCATTGTACCTGCACTGTATGAGTATACAAGGTAATACTATGTTTTCACTAACACTGAGAAATTTCAGACCTTATTATGACATATACCATACATTGCTCCCACTTCCCCTTAACCTCCCCTCCAAAAAAAAAAAGAAAACCAAAAACAACTGAGTTCCCAGTTCTGTTATAAAGTTGTAAGGGTATAGCCATGCTTGCATATAGAACCTTCTTTACTTTCTTTATGCATTATACACATAAAAGTTTCTGAGGTAACGCAATGAGTTGTGAAACCAGGATATGAGTCAAACTCTGATTTCTGTAAAAAACCAATTTTTAGAAGTAGATGAGTATTCAGCATCACCTCCATGAATGACTGACTATACATGGACAGTAACACTTCTAAGTTGTATCTACCTGTAGACCATTTGCCAAGACTTGCTCTATAGCAACAAGGACAAGCTTTGAATTTGGAGTTCATGACTGGGCACTCCCTTGATTTTCAACAAGAAACCCAGTTTGGCCTTCTGTTACTCAGTGAGCTAATATCTCCAGACATTAATACACTTGACCTTGCCCACTTGATCTGACCTGGCCTGGCCTGGTCCTGCCCTCTTGGTGCAGCTCAACCCCGACTGGTCACCTGACTAGTCACCTAACTATATATTGGCAAAATAGGTCCTTAAATTTAGTGAAGTTGACACGAGTAGACTGGACTAGGCCCACCTGACTCGACTTGACTGACTTGAATCAGCTCAGCCTGACCCAGTTGTCCTGACCTGACCTGACCTGACCTCAATTACTATGTGACCCAACTTTGTCCACTTGACTTGACCAGACTTGGCTTGACCCAGCCCAGTCTGGCTTGGCCCAACTCACTTGACCCTACTCAACCTGACCTGCTTGATTTCACTTGGTACACCTGACTTCATCTGACCCCACTTGAACTTGAACCAACTAACTTGAACTAGAAAACAGAAAGATTAAGATGAATCATCTTTATCTTATATGGTAAATAAAGTAGACTTACATGGAATACTTTAGTATTCCTTTCTCAGAGTATAACCACGATTGTTTAGTCTTCCTGTCTGGTTCAGTAATGATATCCAGCTGACATATTTCCATTTCTCCTTCACTGTTGGGGATGTCAATTCCTCTTGGTTCTGTCACCTAACTTACTGAGTAGCAAGGTCAGCTCCAAGGTGTCACTGATTTCATAGTGAAAGCTGTGCTGACATTATTCCAGTGGTTACTCCTGCATTAGCTGATCTAACAGACCCCTGCAGCTTTGTTAATAATTTCAGCTCCTTTATCTCTTCATCAAGAATAAATGTTGTGTATATGTTGTTCAGTCCTTTCACACCTCACTAGAATTGTGACCTTTCCTATGCTTCCTGATATTTTATCAGAATTGCCTACCGAGGATAATTAAACAACTTAATATGTCTTTCCTCTTAGCCATCCTCATGTCTGAAACTTGGTGAGAGGATTGGGAAAAGGGAAAAAGAGCATTTTTTTGTTGTCGTTGTTTTTGTTTTGTTTTGTTTTTTCCTGAACCTCCAGAAATAACAAGATGAAATACAAGCTTTTACAAAAGGGCTATTCTGATATGTATATTAACAGACTAGTAATACGCAGTCTTTGAGACTCAGTTTTTGATACTTTTGGCTGTCAAGCTTTCAATTTTCCTGGGATATAAAGAACCACAGAAAAATACAGCTCTAAGTTTTATTCTTGGATTGCCCAATGTCTTCAGGATTCATGGATTTTTAGATTCCAGCACATTTTAAATCGGACACTTACACGCTTACATACAAGCTGGACTTTTTAGGGCATCCCAACACAAATGAAATGTGGCTGAATTAGGTGAGGTAGTAACTGTCCCTTATTTTATATTTTGATAAATAAAAAATGCATCCACTGCAAGGGTTTTGAAACTGTTTTCCACAAGTAAAACCAGGCTGTCCCAGAACATGTGTTGAACCATGTTTCTCTAACTGTATTTTTACCATATCTACTATATATTGGCAAAATAGGTCCTTAATTTTAGTGAATTTGACATATTAAGAAATAAGAACACATATTAAGATACAGAACGGCCTCAAATTAAAAAAATAATAGAGCTAATTAAGTAAGGTGTAAATAGGAATAATTAAAATAAGATTTAAATGAAAAAGTATACTTTATATCTGTTATTAATATTTATAAGGTTTAATATAATGATTATTGTGAAGGATCAATTTATTTCCATCAAGTTATTTCCATATCGAATCAGAAATAATCAGATAGACATTACTAATGTCTATCTTGTTTTGCTTCTAAGAAAATACTCATTGTTAGAATTAATTTGGACTTTGATTACTTTTATTTCTTTTCAGTCAGCTTTTAAAAAGACGAGAAGTATCCGTACCTTTGAAAATTGAACAGCTTTCTGAGGAATTAGATGCATGGAGAGCTTGCACACAATTAAACAAGTAGGTGGAAAAATATAAAATTACCATGAGTGAGACTGGTAGTATTAACTGTTTAATTGTAAATTTATTTCCTTTGTAAAATATGAATATGACTGGGGGGAAAAGAAGTGCTTTGTGTCTTCTCATTTCTAAAACAAATTAAGAAGTATAGTTGAAAACCAAATATCTTTTGTTCTTAGGTCTAGCGATGAACTGCCATGCACCCCACCATCTGAATCACAGAGAGCGGTGTATTCAGTGCTCGTATCACGAATTCAGGAGGAGCCTCTGAAAGGAATGGTTGGGCCAGACTGTGTCACTGGATCAAATCTTCCTAGTCATTCAGATGTTCATATCTCTTGTTTGACAGGGCTAAAGATACAGGTACGGCTTCAGAGAGCTGAAGTGTTCTTTCTTGGTGATAGCATTGACTAGCTGTGAGGCTGCCATAAATCTAAGGCCACATCCATCATTTAGGAGGAAAAATGTTTACCCTGTTCTCACAGTAGCAGAGTTAAAGATGACAAACGCTGACATCTGCTATATAAGAAAGGCTGCATAAAGAATTGTCCAATCAAATAATTCATTTCTCAAATCCAAAACATTTTAATTTCCATGTAAAATTCCTTTGCCAGATGTTCTGCCTGAAGTGCATGTAAATTATTGCCTACGACCTCACCGCAGCTTGAATAAAAGCCAGGATATTATTTATCTTCAAACACATACTAACATTTTTCTGGTGTTGGTATTTATTACTATGGAAATACATACCATAAAACTTGCAATTCTTGACTAATTAAAGCCAGATATTAGCAGACTAAAGATTCAAAGATGTTTATTCATCACTCATATGGAGCTTTATGATTGAAGCACATTAGTCCTTATAACGCCTCTTTGGTATATGTTGTTATTTCAATAAAGAGAAAGTTGGCAGATCCTGAAAATGCTACTCCTGTCTCCAGGTAGTGCTGCAGTGTGAATTTACTCTCTTAGATGATACTGTCTCCTCTGTCCAGTGCAAGATGCCAGCTGAAAGAGTAACAGGGTGGTTCCAGGACTAAGAAGGATAGTTTTGTGTCAGAAATTGGACATTGCAAAATACTAGTGGGATTTTTGAGGTAAACAAAATTTACAGTTGCACCCCATCAATCAAAAAAAACCTTGCTTTCGACACTTTCACATTAGATCAGTGGTCTCTGGCTATGGCTGTGCTCTCAACATTTGCTAACAGCCATGTAAAGCTACCATTGTTATAACCCATTCAACAAGCATAGCAAATATGGTGTCACCATCTTGTCATCTACAATATCCTTATTTCCAGATTAGTGTACATTAGGAGTCATTGCTTTAGGCATGCAGATCAGCTCACAAATCACTTAGTTAATACTAAGGTGTATAGCAGCCTAATTGCATTGGGTTTACAAGTTCTAAGTAGCAAGTTTGGAAAGCTCAACCCTTTCAGAAAACGCTTAAACTGAATTGCAGCTTTGAGACCAGATTTTGTCAAATGAATAAATTGCCAAATAGCTCTTCTTCCATCAGATAAATGAGTATTTTTTCCTTTTCGTAGTGAGCATTTAAAATTATTCTGTAGACTCCATGTTTTCAAACAGTTCATGAATGCATTATTTTGGGGTTTTTTGTAGATAGGAAGAAGCACAGATCAGCACAGATTATGACAGACACCATGAAGCATGGACAGTATTCTGATGGAAGAAAGCTTGTTACCTCCGTTTCTAGATCAGGCTAAATTAAGCTCTGGAATAATTGACAAGCATATATGTAATAATAGTAAAATATATTATTAAAAATCAAACTAAAAATTTAAACATTATTAAGTGTTGAGTAGCCAGGTTTGGAAACATAGCAAGTTTACTCAATTTATAATGTGTAACTCTTATCAAAGTTGTAAGTTGGTGGGGTAAAATTTTTTGCATGAAGGTTAGTTGTAAAGAAGACTTTTATGTTCTTCTCAGATAAAATGTGCTTTCTGCTGTGGTGGCTTTTACACAGTACCTGTGTGCTTTTTTTTTCTTTCCCTCTCCAAATATTTTTGCTGTACAGGGTCCAGTGTTCTTCCTTGAAGATGGAAAATCTGCTATTTCACTGAATGATGCTTTGATGTGGGCCAAAGTCAATCCTTTTTCACCACTAGGAACAGGAATACGACTTAACCCATTTTGATGAGGTGTTTCCTCGTACTTTATAGTGCTTAAAATAACACTCTGGGGGTTAATACTGATTTAACCTTGATCAAAGGACAGAAAGTGGTAGTTGATTCCTCTTGAAGGGCAAGTACTTGAACTTTGAAAATTGTAAAGTGAGAGCAAGAAAAGAATTTCTATACAAATGTTTGTTGAAAATCCAAAGAAAAAAGTTATTTGATAATCCAAAGAAAAAGTCCTAACTTCATATACAGCCATGTCTTTTTTTTTTTCAGTAAGAACGGTGTTGTCAGACAATACAGACATATTTTAGTCAACTCTGTGTGAATAGATGCCTTGTAAAGGGAGTAAGCAGCTATCTGCACATTATCAAAATATTGATAAAAACTGTGAAATCCATAAACACACTTCCAAATACATAATAATAGAATCACTTTATTGATACCTACTGCAACCTGTTTTTAGAAGGACTGGAATACTGTGGCTCTTTCACACATTGTGTCCCCCTTTTTAATTTTAACTAATTTTTACACACAGGGTTCTATAGTAAAAGTAAAATTTAAAGAGTAGATTATTTTTTTCATCCATTTGTTATTGTGCTTATCAGCAGTACAAATAGCAGTTTACTTATGTTTTGTTTAGAGAGTTTCGAATATTTACATTACAAAATTCTATTTTCTAATAGGATCATTTTTGGCAACTATCCCCCTTATATTTTCACTGGAAGCTAAAATGTATTTATAAAACTGGTTTTTTTTAACAAAGGGTTTGTAAGGAACAAACAGCAAATTTATTGCAATTATTTAACTGTGATATATATATATTTAAAATATTTGTTTTCTTTTTACATTTTGTATTAGTTATAAACATGCATATAGTATGACAAACCAGAAGTAAATACCTGTGCATATATATTTTTATTTACTAAATCTGTGCTCAAATGGGAAAAACTAGTTATGGCAATAGAACACTAAGAATATTTAAACTTTAAAGCTGTGTATAGTATGGAATTTAATGATAAGGAAAATATTATACTTATTTATTATTAATAACTCTTATAATCAGAATTACCTGTAGAAAAGATACCTTGGTTACAATATTCTTTATTAGTTTAATTGCTGGCACTTAAGCAGAAATCTGCTTTATCTGATGTTACATTTTTTGCTGCTGCTTTAAAATAAATTTTAAAATTTATTTAAAATCCTGGTAATTACATGAAATATAAAGAAATTGGAATTAAAAATTGGCAGAATTATTTCAATAGAAACTGTTGTAAAACTGGTAATAATAGCAGGTCTCTATTTATCAGACCCTGTAGACAATTCTCAATACAGAGGTAAGCCATGCCCTCATATAACTAGAAATAACAATGCCACCATGCTGGAAAGGGGGGATGGAGACTAGAAATAAAAAAATACAAGGTTGTTTTTCCTTCTCTTTAAAAAGGTAAAATTTCATTCTGGCAATGTTCTAGAGTATTATTACAGGGTTTCTGGTGTAAGAATAAATTGGAGGGGGGGAGGCAAAAACCTAAAAACCCCCATTTTGTAGCCTAAAAACCCCCATTTTTGTATGTACTTGGATGCTGGAACAGAATGTTTTACTATCTGCAGGTGTTCTTTGGAAAATGATTTTCCTTTTTTTAACTCTGTGGAGCTTGGCAAAGAAGAATTGGGTTTCAGAAGTCGAAATTTGTAGTTTTTGAAATAATTTTCCATCAGTCAGTATCTGATATCTGCTTCTGTCAAATGAAAGACTTGCTGTCTTTTAGCACATAAATTGTATAACCTGATATATAAAAGTCGTTAATGCAGAGGTGCAGAGCAATGGTAAGAACATGCAGCCCCATGACTGGTGACTGGAATCTAAAGGATTGACTCAACTGCCATTCTACTGTATTTAAAATCTTTTGCTGTACCATAAGGACTTTTACCAATATTTCACAGTTTAAATAACTTAAAATGTGTAGTATAACTACATCAATGTGTTGCACATAAATTGTGCCTTAACATGGAATCTTGGGCAAATCTACTCTCTCTTTAGAATGTGAGGGTTAGGAATTCTTTCATTGCTAAAATATAAAAATTAAGTCAGAGGGCGTTTTTTTTATATTTGGGGTAAATCAGGAAACAGTCATTGTGAATAACATGAGGTTGCATTTTCCTTGTAGTTGTTTGTACCCCATGTGTTGAGTGAGGGGAATATGCAGAAAAGGTTGTAATTGTGTCTACTGCTACAGCTGTGGTTGCAACTGTGAAACTATGAATTCATCATTTTCATAATTAATTTCAGATTGTTTGCTAATATGTGACTTCATTGTCTGGCACAGCAAGTCAAATACAGATATTTCTCCCTTAATATTAAAGAATACTTTGTCTTCAAATTATTGTTTGACTCTTCTGTGAAAGTCTTATTTCCATTTGAATGAAGAAATGTATCGAGCTATACAGCTAGTGCTTTCCAATGACTATTAAATCTCAGTTAAATTTCACATCACTTTATTCCCCCAAACCAAATCCATTGTTATATTGAAAGAATCTGTCCAACATTACTGACATGTTTATAAGCTTCACAGACTGCTTCACTGGCAGCTGCAGTCTGAGATATGAGGTGTGATGCTTTAAATCCATGTTGTTGGACTTCTTCATTGGGTAAAATAATTTCAATCCAGAATTACAAATTAAGATTACACTAATGAAAGAAACTCCATTCTTAACACAGAAAACAGGCATCAGGTTTTCTTAAAAACTTGAAGTTAAATGTTTATGTAGGAAGGAAATGAAATCTAGGATCATCTTTGCTCCAGATAAAAATTACAAAAGACATGGAGCAGGGAGCAGATTCACAACAGCAGTGCTGAGGACCAGTATTCATTTGCACATAAGTCAGCATATGAGGAGATGAAGTACACTTTCTGATTAAGTGAAAATGTTGCATAGAGCCGTTGTGTTTTGTGGCTTTTACTTACAGGTTGTTATACCCTGTGTGGGGCTGCCGTGCCGGCCCAGGCCCGGAGCCGCTGCCCCCCAGGCACGGCCGCAGCAAGGCCCGGGCTGGGCCGGATGGTGCTGAGCAGCCCCTGCAGCCTCCCCTTCCCTGTGCTTTCACAGCCTCTTTTGTCTCAGGAGTGCTTTTTGAGCGTGCCTGTAGGATTTCACTGTTGGATTGCTTTCCAGAATTGGCATATTATGCTTTTTTTTTTTTAATTAAAATGTCCTGTGATACTGTTTTAGTGGTCTAAAAATTCATATGATAAGAGGTATTCCAACCTGTAAAGAATGTTTCTTCCAAACCTGGATGTGCTGTAGTGGTCTTAAACAGTGCTCTGATATGGGTAATTTTTTTATTACATTTATTTCATACTAAGAATAGGGCCCTCACAGCATGAAAACAGTAAGAAACCTGTTTCCTTTCATTTCTGGCTAAACAAAGGATCATTTTTGGAAGAGATTTTACCAAATACTAACGTTAGGTATTTCATTGCTGTGTATTTTTGGTATGTGGCATTAGCAGGCTCTGATCTGCCTGAGACCTGTTCCAGTGCATAGTCCTGCCAGGGCAACAACATCCATTTCCTATTTTTGTTTGTCCCTGTTACATAGTAACAGAAGCACTGTCCCATCCCACTTGGTTTATCTTGCCAAAATGACTCGCATTTTCACATAATTATTTGGTAGCAAAAGATAAAAGTTTATGTTGAGAAATGCATCTTGCCCAGGATCCAAGTCATAATATTACCATAAGCCAGTTTCTTCTGACTAGTCTACCCTTTTGTAGAATTACAGGAAAAGCAGTACCAAATAAATAGCTGTAAACTCCAGAAACGGTCTTTCTTTGCTCTTTGGATAGTGGCAAGGATTGGTGGGAATAGATATTGCAAATGCCTCAAGAGCACAAACACAACTATTTGCAATGAGATGGCTTCAACTCCTATGTGACTCTCAGCAAAACTTCTCACATTATCCTGTGGTGTTGAACAGGTGTTTTGCAGAGTAGCCACACTTGCTCAAAACTGATCTTATGGAACATGAGAGCTTTTTTTGACACTTTGTCTGAGTCAAACTTGAAAAGCACTGTGGCCACCCGAAGGGGAGGATCTAAATTATCTCATTCTACATAGAGAAGTTCAGCAGTGCCATGGTTGGCTTGGCGGTTCGAAGTTGGCTTGTTTGTTGAAGTAACACACAGTACTGGTATTGTACATAAAAACATAAATTGCTAGGTTTTGATGGAAACCAGAACCACCATCACTCCATAAGTCTGGATGTTATAGCCTCCTAAGCAGCTCCTCTTACTTGCATTTGACTTTCCTTTACAGGGACTTCAGAAGAGACCCCTAACTAGAGTTTTTGCAGGGAACAGAAGAAAACTAGGATAATTTAACAAGAGCAAGTGCTGGACAGCTACATTTTTCATTAGAGTGGATATAATTTAGCAACTGACTAAGCATTCCTCTTTGTGAAAGCTTCCTCTATAGTTAGTTCCTCATTTAGTATCTTTCCAGTAGGAACATAAATACTGAAAGGAGTCACTGAAAAGGAATGGAATAGGGTGAATCACCAAGGGCAAGTGGCAAATTACCAGGTGTCTTATGCTTTGGTTTACAGGAATTGAGTATAAGTCACTGAGAGTGTGATTTGTTCTCAAAGGAACACCAAAGGAGAAGACTGAGAGGAGGAGCACTGCATTTCAGTGTAGTCAGATCACATTTTTTGACAAGACAGGCAATCACCAAAATGCAAGGGCAAGAAATCTTTGGGGTTTTCTAATGTCTCTTGCGGGTGTCAGCATTCCTTCTCTGGCTGGAGTTGAACAATAAAATTTCAACCTGTTCACAGAAATGCCTGCTAGAGCATTCTGGGATTTTGCAGTATGATTTTTGGAGCTGGGTAATTGTTTATAAACCAGACAGCAAGAGAAATAATGTCCTTTCAAGAGTGCTAACCCTCTTGATACAGAGAACTGATGTATTTCTGGAACCTCGAATCCACCTCCTGAACTTTAGCTTGAAGATTCATTATCCACATTTCCACAATATGCCTTCAGAAACCTCATAGAAATACTACACGTTAAAGTATGCCTTTCCCTGAGGCAAATAATTATTTTATATGCCAATGATACAGCATTGTTATGAAAAGATAAGGAAAGAGCCCATATGATTTTGTTTTATAAGAGCAGATCAAAAGTACCTCAGCATTAAGGCTTTTGAGAAATATTCCTCTGGAATTCTTAAAGCTATGAATTGTATCAATAAACAGAGATTCTATAAAATATAGAGATCATGTTCACAGTAGCTTAATTCCATTTCACAGCACAGGCAGTGAGGAAGAATAAAGGAAGTTTTTCATTAATTAATCGTCTATATAAAGGAAAAGAAAAAAATGACATCCAATCGTTTTATTTTTATCAATGCATATAGCGCACCTATCACCAAGTATTTTTAGATACATGAACAACAGAAATTTAAAAACACATACAATACTGACTCCAAATGGACAAACTTAACAGATAATAATGAAGAAACTCTTTGTGGTTCAGGTGTGTCAAAGAGATTTTAAAAATATAAACACAAAATTAACAGCACTAAAGCTATTGAGTATTAAGGTAAAGCTATATAATCACGTCCCAGAGTATCAGCACACTTATTCAATTCAGCTTTATTAGCACCATGGTACTAGTTGCTGAATGGCTCACAGTTACTATTACATTACCAACACCAGATGTCAAAGATACAATTTTTTAAGCAATATGCAAAAGGCTCTTTTTCCGCCCAGCAGTTCTTTAGATAAAATGTACAATAAACAGAGAGAAGAAAAAGTACTTGCTATTTAAGTTTCTAACACTTATTTACTATGTTATCTGTACTGTAAGAAATTCTTCAGTATTGTTGGCAACTGGAGCTGTGGAACAAGATGCAGTCTAGCTCTTCCTATGTAATTTCGGATACGTAGTCGGCAGAGCTGACACAGAGAGGATGGTGTGGCTGCAAACGAGGAAGGAAGGAATTTAATTGCACAACAATAAAAGCCAGGACTTTGTTTTACAGCAGTCTTGCACAATAATGGGATTTCTTTAAAAAAAAGTTCACATTTTGCATATTGGGCCTTTTTCTTCATTTCTTTTCCTTCATTGCCTTTCTGCCCTCAAAGATAAAGGCTGTTTCTTGCCAAGTAATTTTTTTTGACATCTTTGCTGTGACTTTCAAAAATACTACTACTAGTCTTGGTAAATTTGTGAAAACCTACAGGTTTTAGAGGGGTTTTGTTAACAGCATTCAGACTTACAGAGTTGTTTCCTTAAGTTCACCTCTAAAGAGATGCTCACAGTTATTGAAATAGTTTCTTTCTCTTGTAGCTTATTTTTACATTATACATAGGTCAGTCTGAACAAATCCAGTTCCCTTAGGAATATTCTCTCTCCAAGGCAACAGACCTTTAGGAGTTTTGAGGGACTCTTGAGTGTCGACTCCTATTTCTCAGGTTCTTATAATTTCATGAAGAAAATTTAGAAAATGAAATTTTTTATACTTTTTGCTCACAATAAAAATAAAGTCTTTTATATGCACTTAAAAATACATTTTTAAAGATATTGTGACAGCTGACCACAATGAAATATATTTTTAATCTGAAATTTAAATACTCAGTTTCTTTTTAACAAGGTCTGTAATGGCCAATAAAAATATAGCTTTAAATGTCAACTTGTGTAAACACCCAAAAAATATAATTATACTTGTTCAGCTTGATATAAATTTTGATGCTGCTTGGTCAATGGGCTCTATCTAGCCTGAGACTAAATATTCCTGAGTATTTTTATAGTTACAAAGGAAATTACCTGAATGCTAATATATTCATTTAAAAAAGCACAATGTAACATCTATAACATGGGTTGTTTGGGTTGTTGAGTTGAGGTTTTTTTGGGTGGGTTTAGGGGTTTTTTAAATAATACAAGTTACAGTTGCAAAAACACACACATAAAACTTACCTTCATGGAAGAGCAGCAGTCTCTCCACTAAACTGCTAGGAGCAGCTAAATCAACAGGCCTCTCAAAATCTGAATTTTTGGCATTTATGTCTGCCCCAAATTCAAGGAGTAAATTTACAATCTCTGTACTAGAATGCTGGGCAGCAGCATGGAGTGGAGTTTGCAAATGCTTTCCTTTCTGCACATTGGCACCTGGTGGGTAGATGCACATAAAGAGATGTCAGAAGAGATTAATTAAAATTGCCATTGAGTAAAAATGGAGCTACAAAATAAACAAAAAACCCCACTGTCCTAGAATGTCCTAGAATGCCACAGTGCATTTAGCCACTTTATTAATTCCATTGCATAGAACTACAGCTAACCATATCAATACAGGGGTTTTTATCCTATGGTTTATTACCT